TCACGAAATATTATATCAAACCTCCTTTCTATATATTGACTGAAAAAATATATAATAAGATAGGTTAACTTTTAAATTGAAATTAGAGCGATATATCTATTATATTTAAAGACATAATATGTAGTTTTTCGTCTTTTATGTAGAGTTCATAATCATTTGAAAGTAGACACTTGTATTGATCGAAAATTAAGTCTTTAATGCCCGCGTTTCGTCCGATAAGTAAGAGAGCCAGTTGCGCTTTCTCTATTCCCACCCTTTCCTGACATTTCCTTATTCCCACCCCTCCCTCTTTTTCAACAACCAAGGCTAGCAACGCATCTGCAACATCTCTTATGTTGCGGATGTGCATGAGCGACGGTGAATACTGCCCATCAAGTAGGCCGTCTGCTCGTAAATAATAATTAATAATAATATTACTTAACTGGTAACATCTGATATATTAAATATATGCAAGAAGTAGACAATTAAAATAACTATACAAGCTTAAAACAAACTGCATGGAATATATAAGTACTTTTTTCAACTATGATTCCATTCGCTCTGGATATGTACTTTTAAACCTACCATCAACTATTCCTTACTAACCTGTCATAGAGAGCGATATAACAATATTGAAATTCATTGTTTTGTAATGAGTTCCTTCAACTGACTTAATTATATCAAACCAAATAAGTATGTAGTACAAAATTTAATATAGTTATATAAATTAGATAATTATTTTCATTACGTCAAATATTAGTAAAAACACTATGTACATATGGTTTATTTAATACATAAGCTGCATATAACAGCATAATAAATTTATTTGTTCATTATTAAAAGATCATAAAAGCATAATATCAAATCTTTTTATAACATATGCTCTTGATCCAAGTGTCATTTCAATCTTCAATGGATCGAACGGAAACGTTTGTGTCTGTTCCAAATAGCAAGAAACCTTTGATCACTCTTAACTAGTCTCTTGACTTAAAATCATCTTATGGATTTAGAAAAATTTCCAATTATTTTTATAACAATTAACAGTATTAAGATATTTTTTATAATCTGTTAAAATCTTAATTAAAGTTCCTAATTTTTTTTATGTCAATCTGTCAAAATTTTATCCGACATTTTGTGACAAGTACAACACTTTTTTCGCATTACTTTATTTACAGTCTTAAAATACTATTAAAATCTTTTATTCCTGATTCCAATAACTGTAGTTTAAAGATTATTGTGAAATACATTATCATTGTGCACGGTTACAAATACATTAGTTTAACAAAACATTGTAGAGATCTTAATAATGACGCATTAAACAGTATGCAACGAGTGACAATACTCACTGTTGCTCATTGTGTACACGACATTACAATAAACGGTAGGCCCATTAACGTCGTGTAATGATATATTTGTTGCCTGATTTACTTTAAAAATACGTATGAGATAGCATCTTAAAATTCCTTTACTATATTCAACCCACATATATTTTGTACTTCTTTACGTTATTTCTTATGCTAGTACTTAAAATAATAACGTTTTATTCCATAGAATCTATTCGCCATACTACCATAAATACAATATGACACTTAGAAGCCTAAATTGACTTTCCCGGAACAATAAAATCTTGCCGCGTCAGTTACAAAGCCTTGCACAAGACACGACGCCATCTTTATCTTAGCTACCAGGAATATTCATTCATTAAATAACTTAAATTGAAGTTTTAAAGTTTTACCGCCAATTGCGATGTCGGTCGCACTTTCTATTTATAATTACGACACTATAAAACTAGGGAAATTTCCAGAACAAAATGTCAAACGCATTAAGCTTATGTAATAACATACGATAAAGCTTGTAGATACAATCGTAATATATCCGGGTTGAATAAGACATGTGTAATGATCTAACAGTAATCAGATTATTATTAACTCATTAATCGCAAATAATAGTAATAATAAGTACGTCATCTATTGACGTTTAACTTGACTTCAGATACAGATTATGCTAATTTACTCAATTTGCACATAATTTAATATTTTTAATCTGTGTTCAAAAAATTAGACGTATTTTTATGTTTTTTTTTTAATCTTTTAGTAAACCTATCAAAGATCTATGCTTTTTAAATACATAAAAAAAGAACGATGAACAATAAAGTTTGTATACGTCATGTTAAAATAACAACTTGCAACTTGAATATAAATTAATTCGTATGCAAAAACATGTTTAATATAAAGATGCAGGACCTTGACACTAGATAGTAAGCTCTACTCCAATTTGAGCTGGATTTTAAAATGAGATTAGCTTAGAAAATTATATACCAATAATACTATGAACGAAACAAAATATTGGTAAAGATTCATCTTAAATCAAGACAAGTGCTTTTGTATGTATTTTTTAAACCATATAAAAATTGCATAATTTTAACAGTAATATTTTAAATAGTTCATTCAGATAGGTAAATTTATGATTGTATAATTTTAATCCCGTATATTTACCACAATTTCTATGTGTAAAAACCTAACATAATTTCGAGGTTAATTAAATCAATATACCTTCTTAGTAAATCAAAAGAAACACAAAGTTATCTTTTAGCTACATTAAAACTTATTAATAGCAATTTATCCTTTTTTCTATCCCCCATTCCATGCCCCAAAATATAGGAATGAATGACGATAGAATTGGAATGGAATGGAATATACTAAATAACTTCCAGGTACATAAAATTCGTACAATACACTCATATCCACATAAAAATAGACGATTATTTAATACATACAATGTAACTGCTTCGTTAAACATAAAATTATGTCATAATATGTAAAAGATTGCTCAATTATTTACTTTATGCTCTACAACATTAGCCGGTGAAGTTTTGTAGCGAAATACTCTTAAACAGACTCATCATAATTTTATGTTAGTCTGAGTAATAACCTAATTTCCTAATGACAGATTAATGAAGTATTTAAATTTTATGATACTCATTAAAATGGTCTATTCTGATTGCATTTTGTGTTTTAACACGCTGTTTGTGTATGCAATAATATTATGTGATTCCATTTAACCATCAAGGAGGTTTTGAACAAAAAGTTGTTACTTGAATAATAGTTTTTAATCTACGATTTTTTTTATTTAATCCTTTGCCTCTTTGTAGCAGATATAGAAAATATTCCTATTAAGTTTTTAACGTTCAGTAATTAAAAATACAAAGAAATAAATCACAGGTTAAAAGTATGTGACATTTATTTCATAATAAGATGAATAACGTTTTTAAGTGCGGGAAATTAAGGTTGATTAATAACAATTTAAATTTATGTACCTTTTATTATTAGTAACAAAACACTGCAGTTTGTTTTTATTGGATTATTCATTCATTCATTCACTCATTCTTCAGTACATTTTTGTATTATAGATTTTTTATTCTTATGCAAAATACAATGAACTATATACACATAATGCTTTTAATTTCCCTTACTAAAACATACAAAACCTCGTAGTTGTCTGGTAAAGATGACCTACATCAGAGTTATGACGTATTGTCATAGGAATTTAACATATCCTTACTTTTTGTAATGAAAACTAAAAATTTAATCAATTATAATTCGTCCGACAAATAAAAAGCTTGACATTGGAAAAATATTCCACGATTCCAATGCAAATGACGTCATAGCATAAAAAAATATCAAAATTAGAACTGATTAGAATTATCTATCTGTTTAGCAACTAAATCAGTTTCATTTTAACAACATAAAATGTTAAAATACTGAGAAGAATAAATGTACAAACTATACGAGTAATACTTGTAACTATTACTCATGTAAGTGAATGTTGAAACTACATTTTTCCTGAATGTTTTGAAATAGCGAAGTATGTACGGACGTCGTATAAATATATGCAACAAAGGTAGTGAGCTAAATCCGCTGACGTGCCGTGAGCTTTATGTATATAAGCCTGATTTACGTGTTTCCGTGTTATAATTACATCGTATTTTCTAATTACAAGGTTTAGTTTGAATATTAAGATATAAATACACTCCATTAAATGTTGACAATATTTTGACATAAAAAGCAATACAGATAAAAAAATAGTTTATTATCTGTCATGTCAAAATAAAAGATGGTTCATCTAATGACTGATTATAAAATAATGTATTATAATCAGCTTGAAACTAATTTAAAATTCTTTTGAACTTAACCAATAGTCCACTTCAGACTGAAGAGTTATGTGAGGATATTTTTCGGTCTCATGCTGAATTGGCATCATTTACTTCGTTTTAAAAACATTGAGAAAAGTTCTTGTGGGTAAAGTATATGGCTGAATAGCTAGGACCTAACTTATGATTTATTATACAACAAAATATTTGTTTCTTTTCCATCTTAACTCGTAATAGATATGAACATCGTTTTCTTTATATTATGATAATTATTGTTGATTAAATGTAAAAATTATTCCATAAATTTGGTAATGTACACACTGTAACATTTTTTTGATGAATATGTAGAAAAATATTATTACTATTCAAGTAAACTGTTTTTTCTTTGTATTGTCTTTTTGTGTTTTCTTTGAATATTGCTTCAAAAGTCACATTACTAACAAGGCATTAACAAAACAAGGACGAATAGTAAAAGGAATGAGATAAGAATACACCAAATTTCTTCAGAAGCTTTGATACCATATCTCATACATATTTCTTAAAAATGTGTATATTTAGTTGTTTTTTTTTATGAAATATTTATATACAAAAAATACTTTATAAAGAAAATGAAACAATCGTATTAATATTTACTTTGTTATGAATAAACGATTTCCGTGTTTTATTTGAAATTGGTAACATTTCTGAAATTATAGTAGATCATAAACATTTAAACTAGACATTTGAAAAATATAAGCTTGTTAAGTCGTTTATCTTATAAACAATAATACGCACAGATAATATATTTCAATAGTCGAAAGGTATTTAGCTTTGTAAAGTTTGTATTGGGATGATTTTTCAATATAATTTAATTGGTCCACTATTATTCCAGGTTCTACTGGGATTTATGTATGCTTCTGCTACTGGTCGCGAACCTGATCATCCTGCCAGTTGCCATCTCATTCTTCAACGACGACCTCAGCACAAGATGGATAGCCTTCAACTGTCTTTCGGACACCATATTTCTCATAGACATCGTTGTTAATTTTAGAACAGGTTAGCTTGAGATAATTTTATATATAAAGCGATAATATTCATCTCATAATGAGTTAGACTTTCGCGAGTTTTCATTTAAATGAACGTTATTTTATTATTTTTAACTGTATACTCGCGACGTTTCGATGAATTTGGAGCAAATAGCAAAAGATCATGGACAAAGTCACTGCAAAGTCGGGAGTCTGTAGTTTTAAAAACAATATAATGACGTTTATTAATCTCAAAATATTGGTTTCATTTAAATATTCATGTCATTACCGAGTTTGATGTCATCAAATCAAGATGTATATTTTTAACTTGTGTTATCTGTAACGGCAAAACGAATTTGCATCTTGACACACATGCACACGTCCATACACATATACATACATACACATACATACGTTCAGTTTCCTAGGTTTTATTTTTCACTCTTTCTAATTATTTAAAATATTAATCAATAGGTTTTTCATAAACATTTTAAAAAGCTTCATACGAAAAATGACGCCGCGTACCCTTCTCGTCTTAAAGACACCGCACTGGTCCGATGTAATAATTTGCGAGTCTTATTAAAACTATTCATATAATTTTCACTGGATAAAACTTATAAAAAAAGAAACTACGAAAGAATCAAAAACATACCACTGACTGTCAATAGTTTTATCTCTTATTTAGATGTCTTTTTGATGCTCTATATACTGATAAGTATGTATATATTTTCAGGAATAATGCAGCAAGATAACGCAGAACAAGTGATATTAGATCCAAAGTTAATAGCCAAGCACTATCTGAGGACGTGGTTCTTCCTGGACCTCATTTCCAGTATACCACTAGACTATATATTCCTAATCTTCAACCAGGTAAACGTACGTTGCAATTTGGCCGTGTTGTTTATTACTAGATATAATCTTTCTTTTATGTTGATTCTGTTTCAGCTTGGGTGTTATTTGTTTTATAGAGCGATTATTATTATTGTATTATTTGTTTTTATTATTTTTTCGTTTCTCATTGTGTGATTTTATCCAACTGCCACGAGAACACAACGCGCCATCGTGTCGGTTTAAATGTTTTATTGAGGTTTCTGTGAAATCTTTCGAAGGTTTGATTGAAGCACAATAGATTAAACTTCTATTCTATCTATTTTTATTATCACAATTTTTTTACGTATCTGCACGTCTTCTTGCGATCCACATTCTGGCATACGCCACTCTGCCTTATATTCTTGGGACTGTGCAATCTTCTTTGCTTCTATCTTTAAGCATATTTTTTGTATAATACTGATATATTCTAGATTATTCTTGGAAGCACATACCGTCTGTCAAAAAGTTCGATTGCACACTTTTCTTCAGATTTTTCCAGTCACCAACTGATTCTCTATGCACGATAACTTTCTATGACTATTACATAGGACCTCTTTTATTCACTTTGTCAATGCATGATTTATTCTCGCATAATTATCAACTTTTCTTGACTGTCTTTTTATTTTATATTATTATGTAGCACGATTTCTGGCTATTTTTATTTTGATTTTATGCTAATATATGCAACACGACCAAATTGTATCATATTTGAATAATATTTTTAAAAATAAATAACTTGATACAAGTTATTTAGGAATTGAGGATTATATTTTTTGAATATTATTAAATATATGCTATATAAATATTGATATATCATTATTGAATACAGTTTTCTATGTGAATATAAGCTTTACTAACATTTTATCTTATTTCATTCTTTCAAAAACAACGATTAGTTAAATTTATGACAGAAATATGTAATGCTTCAGCACTTTTCTTTGGCTGATGTTTAATTCTATTTAAGCAAGCATGTCTTGTTCACTTGATAATGTAAAAAGTAGGGTTTCTATTCATTTATAGCGATTTTATGTAAGAGATCGATCTGTGTGGAGGGCTTGCGTTATAAGACTTGTTGTGTTTCCAGGATTTTAGTGAAAGTTTTCAAATTCTCCACGCCGGCCGTGCCCTAAGGATACTTCGGTTAGCAAAACTCTTATCTCTGGTGCGCCTTCTCCGACTATCGAGACTCGTTCGTTATGTGTCACAATGGGAGGAAGTATATGTAAGCCAGCATTTTTTCTCGCTAGCATTTCTTTGACCATTTTATTACTTATCCACTAACACTGCTCTAACACATTACGCTCACATAAACTAACACCGATCTAACACCTAACTATTATACTATTGGAACTTTCGAATTGTTTATATAATGTGATGTTATTGGCTGAAGAATATTTTGTTATGTAAATAATATATAATGTTGTCTAAATTCTAATATAATAAATCTGTTCTAAACGATCTATCTAGTGAGTAGCCATCCTGTTTATATATTGGACTCGTAATCCCGTACTGTACCATGTCCCGCCCCACTGTGTGGCCCACATCCCTGTCTGCACTTCTCTACTGCTTCTCTGCAAGCTTCTTCTGCCTGCACGCTCTCACTCGACTTTCTCAATCTCTGTAACTCGTTCGTCGCGTCCGCCGACCCGAACCGTTCCACCCTCACCATGAGTGATATTTGATTTGCCAACTTGTTATTATTTTGCTGCTTCACGAAGCTTTTAGAAGATGCGCTGACGCCGATGAACGATATGGCTACATATCGGAAACTCGAATTAATCAAAATCCAGTCGTGTGCCTTCCTAATCGAAGAGTATTCCTTCGATTAAATCCTAGTCACATCGGTGAATCAAATATTATACCCATCACTAGAACACCCCGATATCGCGAAATAAAAGAATATAACAATGCACCAATATTTAGCACGTTATTAGCCACCCAGTAGGTGAACCCTTTGACGGTAGTAGTATGCGGAGAGTCAGTGAGAAGTGGAGTACGGGGAGGGTGGTGGCGACGTCGCAGTGACGGTGTTGTGTGCAGATGAGCCCCGCTCCGCAGCCGAGCGACGAGCCGGTCTACACGGACGGCGGCGGCTCGCGCGACCTCGCCTCGCAGGTGCCGCATGCGACGCCGCGACCCTAGTAGCGTAGGGGCCTAGCCCGTCCTCTCGGTGTTAGTGCATCCCATGTGCCCGCACGCGCCCCGACCCCCCTCCGCCCCGCCCCGCACACCCGCGTCGTCCCCCGACCGCCGTCCCCGCCCGCGCTCTGCCGGGCGCGCCTGGCTCTCTTCCTACTATCTCGTGTTTCTCGCTTGTTTTCTAGATCTTGCAGAATCTACAAAAAAAGCGCACGGAACGCAGGGGTCGGCTCAGCTCGGACGTTGCAAAAAAGAAGGGTGACACCAAAAGCAATCTGATCTTTAAGGTAACCAGGGTCGGCATGAGCCGGCGCGCATGTGCTCGTTCGCCCGCTTCGCATCCTCCACGCTGGTCGCTTCGCTTTCTGTTTGTTCGCGTATCTTGGGACCCTCGTCCGCGGGCCGCGCGGGACGCCGGGCGCGGGCGGCGGGCGCGGGCAGGCCGGGCGGCGCGGCGGCTCAGGTCGCGCGGCCTGTCCGCAGCCCCGCCTCGTGATCGCATGCTCGCTCGACGACTCACGCGTTCATATTTTGTTCCTCACTGTTTATGAAACCATCGGTAGATATCATCGCGATGCTTGATCTCGAGCGTCCTTGTCGCGCAGTCCGCACGGCTTCCTTTAGAGGCGACGTCTGATAGTCACGAAGTTTTAATGACATCATTTTCTCCTCAGTTCCTTAATATGGCATCGGTCTTCATGCGGATATTCAATTTAATCTGCATGATGTTGCTGATCGGTCACTGGTCGGGATGCCTTCAGTTCCTCGTTCCTATGCTGCAAGGATTTCCACCGAACTCCTGGGTCGCAATCAATGAGTTACAAGTTAGTAGTAGCAACGATCCACGCTATGTCATTATCTTTATATATATAAAAATTCGTGTCACATGGACTCCTAAACTACTAAACCGATTTTAAATTTGGTTTGCATTCCGTGTGCATTTTGATCCAACTTCAAAGATAGGATAGCTTACTTCTCAATTTATAGTCACAATATTATTTTATTGCAAATTATTTGTCTATTAAAGTAAATTATTTTTCATTATTGCAATTATTTATTGACTGAGTTAAGTATTCAATAGATGGTGCTATGTTAAAAATACAAACGTCATATTTAAGCGACTATTTATTATTTAATAATATCATAACCACCACGTGTTTCTGAGGCTAAGGTATAACCTAAATTTATTTATTAAAAAAATGTAACAGATATTTCTTGATTATAGGGCGATATGAAGTTCGCCGGGTCCTCTAGTTGTAAATATAAGAAGGATCTCAAATGTACAGGACATCGAAGCAATCACAAAACCTATTAATCTTCCAGGAGGCTTTCTGGTTGGAGCAATACTCTTGGGCGTTGTTCAAGGCTATGTCCCACATGCTGTGTATCGGCTACGGTCGTTTCCCACCTCAGTCCCTCACGGACATGTGGCTGACCATGTTGTCTATGATCTCCGGAGCCACATGCTACGCACTCTTCCTCGGTCACGCCACCAATCTCATACAGAGTCTTGACTCCTCACGAAGGCAGTATCGTGAAAAGGTAAGAAGATTATTCACCAATTTTTAAAACAAATATCATGTGTCATACGTATATAATATTTGATACCAAAGTTTCTTTGCAATCATGTCTAGGACAAAAACCCCTTTTCCAACTTAACGAGCTGTTATGAACACTCCAATACTGGCCTGTTAATGTATTATGTTAAAGCATTATTATTTTAGTAACGTGATGTTTCCATTCTTTTATCACTCAGCTTGTCTTACAATAACTAATCCCAAGTCATTGTTACCTGTTTCAGAAATTGGATGTGAGTACAAACTGAATGTTCGTCTCGTGTATATATTATGTTGATGTTAATTTTTCACGATATAATTTTGTTGCACTTCTTTCATTCGGTTTTTGTGTTAACTGGTAACGCTTATACATCGTGTTTACATTCTATACTAACGGGTGTTCATGACAGTTTCTATCAGTGGTTAGATGTCTCATTAGAGTTCTACTAATTTGTCGGAAGTTTTTGTACATTAGATACTATTTAGATTGTTAACAGTAATGGGAATATTAAGATAATATAATTAATATGCGATTGTTTTCTTCATTAAATTGTTAAAGGTAATTAGATACAATTGGCACGTTTGGAGTTTATACGCAATAGGTGTTCTTAATCTAAAAATATTTTAATATGCACTTTGTTAACATTGAAGTTTTCGACGATTGACATTGGTTAAAAAATCTGTTTGTAATAATAAAACTGTTTTTATAGGTTAAACAAGTTGAAGAATATATGGCGTACAGAAAGTTACCGCGTGAGATGCGTCAGCGTATCACTGAATACTTTGAACATCGCTACCAGGGGAAATTCTTCGACGAGGAATTGATTTTGGGCGAACTAAGCGAAAAACTACGCGAAGATGTCATCAATTATAACTGCCGGTCGCTGGTCGCCTCTGTTCCGTTTTTCGCTAATGCCGATTCTAATTTTGTTTCGGATGTTGTCACTAAATTGCGATATGAAGTCTTCCAGCCAGGTATAATACTATTATTATTTAAACATTAATCCTTAATATCTGGTTATCGAACTTTGCTCGAAATTTAGGAAGTTTTAGTATTTATTTTGTGTTTTTTTTTTAATTTCGTTTAGCCATTTTTAAGTGAACACGTTAAGAAGACACAAAACAATATAAATCAACAATAATTAATTTCTTAGTCTAACCTCAAAACAAACACAATGACTTCCTGTTACTTAGCAACGCCATCTGCTGTTGTGTCGTTTAAAAGCAATTAGCAAAAAGTAGTATTACTATTCGCCAATAGATGTCAGGAAGAGTCATATTTTAAACGCCTCTTTTTTTTTTTTTTTTTTTTTCTTTCATAAAACAACGTTTTCTAAAAATGATTACTGTATGAAAAACCCCTGTATGCTAAATTTCATGAATATTGTTGGAGCCGATTTCGAGATTCCAATTACTTCTTTATATATATACAAGAATTGCTCATTTAAAGATACAAGATTAGGCACAGAAGAATAACGCAATGAATAAACGCAAATGTGTTCATGTTCCAGGTGACATCATCATTAAAGAGGGTACCATCGGAAATAAAATGTACTTTATTCAAGAGGGTATAGTGGACATTGTTATGGCGAATGGAGAGGTGGCGACCAGTTTATCGGACGGGTCCTACTTCGGTGAGATTTGCCTCCTGACCAATGCCCGGCGAGTTGCTTCCGTCCGCGCCGAAACCTACTGTAACCTGTTCTCGCTGTCCGTCGACCACTTCAACGCGGTGCTCGACCAGTACCCTCTGATGCGGCGCACCATGGAGAGCGTGGCCGCCGAGCGGTTGAATAAGATAGGGAAGAACCCCAACCTGGTGGCGCACCGGGAAGACGACACTACGTCAGAGGGGAACACCATCAACGCGGTGGTGAACGCCCTGGCCGCGGAGGCTGAACACGTCAGCCTCTCCGACGACAGCGTGGCGCGGCTGTCGGAACGCTCGCTAGGGCTGGCGCTGCAGCCTCTCCAAGCCGCGTCGTGCCGCATGGCCGGTGTAGCGCTGCCCGGGCTGGGCGTGGCAGCCCTGCCTCGCCCCAAGTCCGAGCACGACTTCAGCTCCGCGCAGGCGCAGGCGCCGCCGCTGTCCTCGGCCGCCGCCTTCCACAAGTCGGACGCCGGCATCGCCCCCTGACGCCGCACGCTGTGCTAGACCGATAGCAATACTAGGCTTAGTGCGAGCGCGCGCGTCGCTCGCTAGTTGTAGCGTAGACACGACTATAATAGCTGCGACTTCGCCGGGTGCGAGCCCACCGCGCCCGTTGAATCTCATTTTGTGATCTTATACTTAATTCTCCTGTGTTATAATTTAGGTTAAATTTTATATCATCGACGCTGTAAGGACGGATACGCTACGTATTCGGAATGTATAGTTATACCTGTTATATATTGAAGAATGATACTATTGAGTCTTTGAATAGTGAACCTTGCCATTAAAGAGAAAGTAATTATATAGACTAGACTGAAATGTAAAATATCACTATTTTATGCTCTGTTGGCGTACGAAATAGAACTATATTGTTGATGGATGCGAAGTACCCGCTGGTGAAGGTACGTGATGACGGTGAAAATCGATGACTTTCCCAATAGTGACTAAAACAAAGATATTATATATTGAATTGTTAATAATTATAAAATAATTAAATACAATTTTGATGCGTAGAAAAGTTTAGATATTTTGCGGGACTGCGCGTTGTTCCTCGGACGCGTGGGTTGTATGAGAGTGGTATGCACGTGCCATACAGCGTGTTATAGCGAATTAGTGGAATTGAAGAAGCACGGATAGGGTTTGACGGAGGAGTGGGGAGGAGGGGGAGGGGGGATGCGCCGAGGAAGGGCGGGGCGCGCAGGTCGCGTTCACCGCACACGCGACGCACAAATAACAGACAAACCTCACGTTTCCATAGCACACGGACGCTTTTTATTTATACATGTAGTCGAGCTACCGACGTCGAATATTTATCCGGTTAAATATATAGTGGTGGATCAGTAGCGCTTCGAATCATTTCTTTATGTAAATATTGTAATAATGAGGATTCGCCTTTTAGAGTTTGTTTAATAGAAGTGATAGGGGGCGCTCGATCGAGCGGTCCAGTCAATTATTATAAAGATAATGTGAGCTAGAGCAGTTACGTTCGGACTCGCGATGCACGATAACACTTCGTACCTTGTTTTAATTGTAGGTGAAAATAATTTATTGTCGATATTGATCATATTTTAGTAGGAGTAAGTAGGCGGGCGATAAAGATAATACGGACGAATTACGTTTTGTGATAGAGCAGCTGCGGGCTGCGAGGCCTTGCCGCCGGCTCGGCGAGTGCGATGCTCGACGCATTACGACGCTATAGTTGTAGTGATGCATGAACAACGCTTCATATTTCTTATTCAGAGTCTTGTGTTATACTGTTTTTATTATACTGCAGTTGTGATAGTGATTTTTGCAATGCAACAGCTTTTCGAAGTATGAAAAACTTTCTTAGCAATAAATAGTTGATCGCAACGAGTAACATATCCTACAGTTAGAGTAGAGTAGTCGTTGAGCCGACCGCCGCCGGCGATTCATACAGGCACGTTTCATCGTTGACTAATTCTTATAGTGTCATGACAATTTGTGAAATAATTTTTGCAAAATGTTGACTTTTAGCCAAAATCTAGGTAATGAATGACGAACCAATATGCAGTAGCTTACTCGTAGATGGATGCAGCATAGTTTTCTGTTTGGCGATTAACACCAATAGACACTTTGTACTCGTAAGATATTTATACAAATTGACCTTAACAGAGTGACATCTGTCAATTTATCTACAAAGAAAAATATATAATTGCGTTTTATTCCCCAGAGGCATTTATTTATTGTTGTTTTATCTAAGATTTCCGCTTTTGTAAATTATATAAATTTTATAGAAGAGATCTATTTTTATTGTGAAGTTGAACTGCTGAGTATAAGCAAATAACCTATATTAAATCAAGAGTTTTTTTTATTGGAACTGTTAATTAATATATAGTTATATTATACTGATTTCTGGTATCTATTTTCACCAAAAGTGCTCATCGCTGTCAAAAAATTAGAGGAAATGCATTAAAGAATGATGAAAAACATATGTTGTTTTTGTTATCCTGGATTTTTTTACATCGTCCTAAAGAAGTTGATATACAGGGTGACTGGTGAATTACTATCAATATTTAAGGAGAATACTCGGTACATGATTCTCATTCAAATTATGTAAAAAAATAGGTAATTAATTTTTGACCAAATTTCCGTATAAATAAATAAAGTATGGACACGTTCCAAGTGTTCCAAGTGTGGACGCGTGCGGCGGCGTGCTGATACAACACCACGCCGCCGCACGCGTTTGTGTGTGTGTGTATACCTAATCTGTAGGGTGTTCATACGATGCGTAATTAATTACATAACTTTTGGTTAACTTTACTTAGAAGTTTATTAATATTTATGTTATATTAATTTTTATTTTGTCATATAATATGATCGTCAAATATCACGTCCTCAAGTATCGATAGTAATTCACCAGTCACCCTGTATTATTTCATCAAAGTTGATACCTCTTTATCATCCCTATCCACAATAGCTTTAAAACTCATTCCACACCATCCAATTAGGTAATCATGTTATTTAACCTCTGTGAAGAGCTACATACATTCTATGTATACATTTATATATAGTATAGTATACAGCATCGACTTATACTGATGGACATGCCTTAGAGATGAGAATTGTGGCACTCCAAAAGAAAGAGAGGAAACGAAGTTTCGGTCTATCTTTATCTCTCTCAAAATAGTATCGTACTTAAGACGTTATGAGCCCCTTCTGGATAATTTATATGCCATGCTTGTCATGAAAACTACAAAAAAAATATGCAGATTATACGGCACGTCCATTAGTATATGTCGATCGTATACAGTTCTTAGCTTTTACGCCAACACCAGTAGTTCATCAATAAATTCTTCCACACACATCAATATTTTAAATTCCACCACAAGACAATAATACCATTTATAAAAGTTATCGCCTTACAAGAATAGTACATTTATTTGTATTTATATGGCTGTAAAGAAAATATTCAAATAATATTAGAAAGAGGTCTTTATCAAATAGAGCATTTCTTCTAAGAAAACTTCCTTTATTTATAATATAAGAATACTAACAGCTGAAAGACCCTCAAGCTGTTTGTTTAGATTAATTTATTAGGTATTATTAATCAGCGACTCCTGTAAACAAGACTTTTAAAGTATTTTTTACAGTAGCTCAAGACAATATACATCTAAAATCACGAAAACAAATCCCTACTAATATATATTTATATATAATATTATAAATGAGAAAATAACTCTGTCTGTTATGCTATCACGCCTTAACCACTGAACTGATTTTAATGAAAATTTGTACAGATATAGAGTTGACCTTGAGAAAGATTATAAGATAGTTTTTATCCCAGACTTTTGAAAAGTTCTCTTGGAAACGTGTTATTACCGAACTCAACTGAAAACTATATTTCATTTTACTTTTAAGTCTAAATGGTATATTGTAATATTGGCCAATATTGTAAAGTCAGCGGTTAATAAAGTAAACATTAATGACTATAATTAATAAATAAAATTACTTGGTAATTTTATTTTTCACAGTTTTCTTTTAGTAATTTTGAATACAGCTCTTCCTTAACATATTTTAAGACCTGGCAACCCTATTCCTACCTAGGCCATTTTTGACAGACGACAGTTGCCAACTTATCGTGTGACGACTTTTCAACTTTAGTGAGTACTGTCTTCAGTATCGTGTGCGTGTTACACTTTCTTTTCATAAAGTATTGTATAAAATGTATACATTTAAAACTGTATTCCTTTAGAAGATTTTTAAAGCAATATTCTCAACATCTTATTTATTTCCTTGCGGCCTAAAAGATATTTAAATTTAAAATGTCTACACGAAGAGCAAGAATTAAAGCTGTTAATTTTTTGCCACTGCGACGAAAAAATACTGAAACATCTGAGAATAAAAATAAAGTCTCTGAATCAAAGGACAATGCAGAAAAAAAATCCACAGATTCTCAGACACCCCTGCCTTTAGTCTCCGCAAATCAAGAAGAAAATACAAGCTTAATAAAAAATACGCCGGAAAACCAAAACTCAGGTACCAACACGCCGTCAAAAGAACAGAGCTTAAATAAATCGCCGGCCGCTCACAATACAACACCTGGCGAACCCCCTCACAAGGCAAACACTTCAACGTCATTAAAAGATAAAGCACAAACAATTAATTCAGTAAAAAGTACCAACATTTTCGTATCCCCTCTAAGACGAGATAGTCCAAAAAAGACATTCGCATCTCCAATCGTCCCTTCACCTAAAATCATAAGAAATGTGGAACAAAAATTAAACACACCACTCATTGGTAGAAAGACTCCTGTAGCACAAAAAATCAATGAAAGTAATGAACTTCAAATATCAGGAAGTGTTATTAACATCACTCACAATATTACTAATGAGAGTCGGAAGAATGGTAAGACATATTCATTATAATTTTAATACATTATATATAAGGCATAATTTTTCAAACTTATAAACAATTTAAGATCAAAGTGAACCTGGTACACCTACCACAGTGAATGATGAAGCGATGGATGGTATAATTCCCTTACAATCAGCATCAACTGCACCTAAGCCAATTGAGTTGTTGAAGAGTGAAATTATATCAGAAAATGCCGAGGTTCTTTTTGATCCAATTGTTCCTCTCCCATCTCCAAGTAAAGTTAGACCTAAATTACGACCAGCTCCAAGATTGGGGCCTCATCGACGGAACAGTGTACAGGTAAGACTTAATAGATGTTTTATCTTATATAACATATTACATTTATGAATGAAACACATAGATTTTAACAACCATATATTGTCTATATATTTGGTTGATATACTGAATATTTTAAACATAAAAGTTGTTCTAAATATCTTCATAAATATTTGGTAAACCACATTTTTTATTGGTTTAGAAAGCAATACAATAATTCTAATATATCATTGAAAATTAATACTAGACATTAACTTTTATGATATGAATTTAGTTATTATACCAAAACTATTCTAGGGTAGTGCAAGTGAATCTGAAGATGAAAGTAGAAGAAGTCTTCTCTCCGGAGGCAATACACCAGCACATCAACGGCAAAGACAGGACTCACAAATGTCTCATAACACATTTGTCTCATTACCTAACAGGTACACAATAATATATGTCAAATATTATTCTAAACAAGAATATTTTAATTCTATTAGACATTTTTCTATGATTCACCAAATAAAACTTGAGTTATGACATATTTATGTGATTAAAAGCAATTTTTATCCTCCATTTTGAATGCAGTTTGTAGTTATCATATTCATCATTGCACAAATCAATTTGTTAAGTCTGTAATGATATCAAGATATCTATTTAAGTAATACATTTTTATTTTTTATACTATAGCTTCATTCACACCAGAATTATGCAATGTTTCACTAAAATCAACATTTTTATTTGTTAGACAAATTATAATCTTGAGTATTGCATTGTGCAACTTAAGTAACAATTATTACAAAGACATTTAATAGAGATAGTTTTTTATCACGATCATATATGTTGTGAATTTCAACATTTTATATGATAAATATAAGTAAGTACATATACATTTTTAATATTTTTATATATCAATGTTTCAGAGATGTCAGCCGTGTAAGAAATGACTCTGTGTGTTCAGGTGTAAGTGTGATTACAAAACAACCACCAACATCTCCAGTTAAAGAAAAACATACAAAGTAACAATCACTTTAATTTTATTTACATTACTAGAGTTGTAATTATTATCTATTCATATATTATATTGGTTGACACTACACATGTATGTATTGTGTCTATTAAACATTTGGTTTAAGTACAATTAATTCAGGTTAAAATTATCATAATATATTTTACATATATATAATTCTAAGATAATTATTTAAATTTTTAAATAAATAGTATGTTAAATTAAAACATTCAGTATAAGTTATTCAAAATTCAAATTATTTACATCATATAGTTATTAATAAATAGCTTTCCGCTCGCAGCTTCGCCCGCGTGGAGTTCGGTTATATCGCGTTTCCAAGAGAATCTTTCAAAAGTCTGTGATAAAAAATATCCTATGTTCTTTCTCAAGATCAACTCTATATCTGTACCAATTTTCATTAAAATCAGTTCAGTGGTTTAGGCGTGAAAGCGTAACAGAATGACAGACCGAGCTACTTTCGCATTTATAATATTAGTAGGGATTAAATATATATGTAGAATATAACATGAAGTAAGGGATAATAAAATTAGTTTCACTAAAATTAATTCTAGGACAATAAAATTTCGTATATTTAGTTAAGACTAATACATTGTGTTGTATATTTAAGGAGATCTCGTAATGAACGTCGTTTGAACGCCATGAGACGTCGAGAAAACGTCAAACGTGATTCCCTAACGATGTATGATCTCATCTTCTACAACCCAACATCGAATCCTATTGTGTAAGTATGCTCTAATATTAAGCATTTTTTTTATATATGCTATGGCTTCATTCGCACTGGAATCGTGAAATATTATGAAAATGTTAACGTTTTTATTTTGGACGAATTATAGTTTTTAGTACTATTAAGCATGTTTGAAACCTTAAGAGCCTGTCCAGAAAGGGCGATTTACGCGTTTTGATTTGTATTGTGTCCAGATGCGGCGAAATCACGAGCGTATGTGATGAGACGGATTTGGTCAGTTATAAAAAAAATCTACTATTTCTTCCCAGTTCCTACGCTTAATAGTTCTATTAGAATAATCTGACGATTCCAAATCCCATACAGCTACCCTTTTTTCAATTTCGTCAATAATAAGTACCGTCTTAAAGTTTTCACGCTCCATTTTTAAAAAACGAATACGTCCACTCGCCGCGGACACGCGCATCGTTCTGGACGCTGCAAGGGCGCCGGAGTCGAGAGTCTCGCTCGTTGCAAGCGTTTTACGCGCGAGAGCATCTGGACGGAATGTATGCAGCTCTAGTGACTCGAGAACGCGCGAGTGTCTAAATCGCGCTTTCCGGACAGGCTCTAAATCAAAAATTGCATTAAAATATTGACCTGTAATTCTTACATACCCAGATTAGCTCAAAATTTATTTTTTTGTTTTAATCTGATCTGTAGTCTATTTTAAGTCAATATGTTCTTCCTTATACTCCACATTCAAAATACAAGTATGGTATATCAGTTAGAAATTCATTATTGTATTTATATTTTAATTAGTCTTTTGCTATCATAATAAATATATTTCAAATCAATTGATCATTTTGATCAATTGATTTGAATATATTTATTATTTATATATTCTCAATTATAATGTTACTGAATTAAAATAATGTGTGTTTGATGTAATTTCATATAAATAAAGTTTCATTACATTGACTAATCTAATATAAATCTTAAAATTAGTCCAGATGATGACGAAATAAATGCAAAAGAAGCAAATGAGAAGGAGATTCTAGAAAATAAAAAGGAAGAAACTAAACAAGTTGATACTCCGAAAGAAAACGCGGCACCCGTACCACAAATAAAACTTGGACCAAATGGGACTATTATGATTGATGAAGAAAGCTTGGTGAATATAAACTTTAAATTATGACTAATTTTAATCAAGTAATACAGGGTGACTGGTGAATTACTATCAATATTTAAGGAGAATACTCGGTACATGATTCTCATTCGAATTATGTAAAAAAAATAGGTACTTAATTTTTGACCAAATTTCCGTATAAATAAATAAAGTGTGGACGCGTGCGGCGGCGTGCTGATACAACACCAGGCCGCCGCACGCGTATGTGTGTGTGTGTGTATACCTAATCTGTAGGGTGTTCACACGATGCGTAATTAATTACATAACTTTTGGTTAACTTTACTTAGAAGTTTATTAATATTTATGTTATATTAATTTTTATTTTGTCATATATGATCGTCAAATATCACGTCCTCAAGTATCGATAGTAATTCACCAGTCACCCTGTATACAATGAATTATTTACATACGAATACAAACATATAATTATTATTAAATTTATCTTTATTTAATTAGTGGTAGCCTAGTGGTTAGAAAACCCGCCTCTCATGCATGAGGGCGCGGGTTCGATCCTGGCAAGTACCAATGTGATTTTTCCGAGTCATATGTACTTTCTAAGAGTATTTACTGATTAATACATTCCCAAAGAGGGTTGATGTCAGGCAGCGGCCGGTCGTAAAAACAATTAGCCAAAACCATTAACAACTTGTAAGGCAGACCCTAGCTATAGCTAGAAAATTGCCAGGTAGAAAAAGAATTCTTATTAAATTTATCACATGATACTAAAAAAAAATTTTTTTTTTCGCATAACACTACAATTTTAATAGTCAGAACAAATAGCTAAGTTATAGATTATATTTTCTACCACTCATTTAATTCATGCCATAAATCTGATACAATTATTTAAAAACATTTTTATTCATACCAAATTATCCTATACCCTAAATATATGATGTAAATATTAAATTATATTTAAATTTCAGGTGATAAAACAAACTGAGTCCGATAGAAAAGTATCATCGGTGGTTCATGAAGGATCTTGGTCTAAGAGCAGTGGTTATAAAGCAAAACATCTCCGCTCTAGAGATTGGAGTTCTGCGGAGACTGTTCGATTCTATAGGGCCTTGGCTGTTATTGGAACAGATTTTTCATTGATGGCACCTCTATTCCCTGATAGGACAAGACGGGAACTTAAATTTAAGGTATGTATTTCAATTTTCAAATCTTATATATAAAATTCTCATGTCACAATGTTTGTTCCCATGGTCACAAAAATACACTATCTTACATTTGTGTGTTGAACTTCTTAAATTTAAAAACGTTAATATATTAATTACATTGATTCATACTTTAATATTTGTATTTAAAATAAACAAATTTATAAATCTGATTTTATAGTACGTTAAGTTTGACGACATAAATTTGGATTGTTATCAATTATTTATAGACATTTTAAATAATTGATTTTATTTATAATTTATGTATTTCAGTTCAAAAAAGAAGAAAGAATGAACGGCGCCCAAGTTGATAAGGCGTTACGTTCAACTATCGAATGGGATGTTCTGAGACTTAAAGAAGAGTTCAAAGAAGAAAGAGCCCTGGCCGCGAAACAAGCGGAGAGAGAGAGACAGATATTGTTAGAAGAGAAGAAGATGGAAAGAGATAGACTGAAGGCTGCTAGGGAGACGCGTGTTAGATGTAGTGAGTTACATTATAAAGGATTATAGATAACTAGCTTTCCGCCCGCGTGGAGTTCGGTTATATCGCGTTTCAAAGAGAACCTATCAAAAGTTTGAGACAAAAACTATCCTGTTCTTTCTCAAGGTCAACTCTATCTCTGTACCAAATTTCATTAAAATCTGTTCAGTGGTTTAGGCGTGAAAGCGTAACAGACAGACAGTGTTAGTAAGGATTAACCGTTACCTCTTCCCGTGGTATAAAATAAAGAAACAACATTTTCATTGTTAACACCCACTCCATAGTCATTATTGGGGACAATAAAATTCGCTCATATATAATTTAAGCATCACATATAAAAGATTCTCATCAAATTTGGAGCATGTAGGAACTATACTTTAAAAACAGATATTTTTCATTTATGATGCCCCCTTGTGAGAAGAATTCGAATTCTATTCGGTGAAAAGAATATTCCTACTAAATTTCTAGTCTCTATTTATCATTCAAGAGAAATAGTGATGACTCATATATGTATATAATATGTAAATTATATAAACTAGAACTGTTGAAGTTTTGAAGTTGCACTTATTTTCTTACTTGTAATTATTTTGTTCAATGTAGTAAAAATAATTAATCTTAAGCAATTTCTTCTCTGAAAATAATAATTGTAACAAATATATATCAAATTGTGGAACAGCAAATGAAACCCTCGTGGTATAAGCATAGGAGGTTTTTTTAATTCATTATTCAATATATTTATTTGTATATTCTTTATTACAGGCCGAGGTTCGAAAGCTTTATCATCAAACATGATGCCAGGTCTGAATAAAGTTCACAATGAAGTGTTCACAGCAAATGGTATTATAGAAAGAGCTACTCGGAGACCTCATAAAAACAAACAGGAAATAACCCAGGGAACAGACAAAAATAAAGATAATCAATTAGATGTAAGCCAGAACACACAAAATCAAGATTTAGCCGTATCAAAATTACCACCAATGCAGAGTAAAACGCCAGAAGTCATTAATACTTTGCCACCGATACCACCAAATATTGAAACCGGTTCTTTGGTTGTGTTAACGGTCGATGACCCCTCTTCTCCCGCCAAAAAAATGCTACAGACATACATCGCTCGAGGCCCGGGACAGTTAACACCAGTGGCATTACCTACAACCTTCTTGAACTCTGTAGTAGGATATATGAAGAAGAACAAAGGTCAAGGATCACCACAGATTATGTCGCCGGGCAGCGCTGCCAGCTACGACAGCAGATCGAGCGGAACACCCGGAATCCAAAACATTTCAGTGTTGCCAAGTCCAGCAAAAAGACAACGACACAGCTCATTCACCATAACGCAGCTTTGATTATTATTCCATTATGTTGCCAGTATAAAAAATCTTTTTATCACAATTTCATTTTATCTATGGGTGGTAAATTGATGTCTCCTTGCGGATTACAGCTGTGATACTTTTGTAAAACCTAGTTCTTATGCCAATATCAACTTATTTATTGTTTTTTTTTACTTTATATTAAGTTAAGGTTTTATTCTGTTTGATGTCAGTTAAAAGCTTTTTGTTCATGGCATGGAATTGATATTTAAATAAAATACTTTGACGAATTATCTTCATCGTAATTAAGTGAATGTTCTCTTTTATATATTTATTGGACAAGTTATCTGGTAAACTAGTTCAAAATGCTTAAAATGTACCATTTCATGAGGCTGAAATATATGTTATATCACGCTATGTGCTAAATATACCCACCTGTCAGACTTTCAAATAAATATATAATATAATCAAAAATATATTGTTCACATACAAAATATTATTTGAGAATAGTAGGTATTTAGATACAATATCCTAATGTTAATGTTATTAACATTACAGTCATTTTCAAATACATATGTACATCTGTTATGCGAATTAGGGATATTTTTATATGAAGAAAATTTTAACATTCTTCAAATAATTTTCTAGAATTAACCACATTAGTCATATTTTTTTTTACTTTTTCTTAAGAAATGTACACAAAAAGTCTCATTATGCTAAATGCTACATATTGTAGGCCATAATTTCGCATTCGCATTTGTAGTATCCAAAACATTTTTGTAACAAAAAATACTGATTTTATTTATAATGTCAATGATTCTGACTTATATGTAAAACGATCTTCAAAGGAATTGTTTAATGATTGTACTCCAATTATTTTAGTAATTCTATTATGTGATATAATAATAATGTGTTTGTTATAAGTGTTAAGAATTATACGCATTTTTTTACAACATTCGTTTCTTTTTATTCCACAATTCGTTTTCTTATACATATTCTTTATATCTAGGGTTCAGTATATAGAAAAAATCACAAAATATCATACATTTATTAATTATAACTTAATATCTATGAAGCTTCTATGATTTCATGAGGGAACCATTGTGACGCTTCTAAAGAATCCCACAAAGATAAGTCCGTATCAAGAAACTCCTGGTTCATCTGATCAACATCCAGAACTTTCTTATGATCTGTAAATAAAACAAAATATATCTCAGAAATAATGTTCAAATATAGTTGTTATAATGTTTAAGGAAAAAACTTATTTAATATGTCCATACTCCACTTCAGTAGGCTATTATAAGCAATATATTTATTACATAAATAAGAATAAATCAAATTTAAAATTAAGGTATCTTAAACCCACTCATAACATATGCCAGTTGAAGTAACATATAAATTGCAATCCAATTTCATTTCTATACATAAGTAGTAAATTATCCTACTAATACTATAATTCCGAAAGTTTGTGAGTGTGTGTGTATGTTTGTTACTTTTTCATGATCAAACGGCTGAACCGATTTTGATAAAATTTTGTATACAGGAAGCTGACGTCCAGGAATAACACAGGCTATTTTACATCCCGGAAATGCGCAGGGCGCAACTAGTGTATAATAGGTACTGTGATAACTTAGAAATAATCTATTCTCTACATAACAACTATTGTAAATAAATTTATATGTGATACACTTATACAAAAAACCAACCTATCAAAGCCAGTTCATCAACCTGGGCTTTAACGACCGGAGCTGTTTCTTGGACTACAGCGCTGGCATCCTGACCGTAATACCCCGACCAAGCAGAATAGTTTTGCCAATATGCTGATGGATCATAATAATGACTGTAGTCCTGAAATCATTAAAAACTATAAATTAAATACAATTTTGTTACTAAATAATGACACAAAAGTAAATTGTTTAGGATAGAAAATTGATATAAACATCTAAAAGATGTTCATCCACAGATAGGCTGGCTTTTGGCAAAAAAAATAATTTCGAGAGGTCAAAAAAGTTATAGTTAAGTTTATATAGATTAAATCACATAAACACTAAATCAATTTTTATATGAAGTTGTTTAAATAATGTACATATTTCGAATTCTATTATGAAACAATATATGTAAAAATGTGCAAAATGTTTCTTGCTATTATATCTATCTACACATAATCAAATTTAACATATATGTATATATTTTGGAATAAATTAAACACTAAATAATTACTAATTCTGAAAAAAATTAATTAAAAGTCGTTAATATAGAACATATTTCAGGTTAAACCTTCTTCTGATAATCTGCTTCTAATGTAGATATGCGGAATTATCCAATGGTAGTTACGTGGATTTGCACTATCCCTGACAATATATCTTAAACTATGATCACATATATATAAATAACTTACTGTGCTACTGCTATATGTTGCCGTTGCTGTTGCAGGAGTAGGACTTTGAGTTGTGACGGCGCCTTTAGGTTTAGGTACAGCGGTGCAAATTTTAAGCGGCTTTGAACCTAATCCTGTATAGCCGTTCATAGCATAAAGTGCATTCCTTTGTTCATCTTCATTACCAAAACGGACAAATCCATAACCTTTTGTGTAGCCAGAACTGTCTAGTATCACTGAAATGTTATTTATCATGTAAATAGAAATAAAACATTATAAATTTTCATATTATTACCAATTATAATCATATTTATTATGATAATTATAATAAAATTTGTATCTGAAATACAAATTAACATTCATCTGTCATTCGTCATCAGCTTACGAAAACCCACAACTGAGCAAAGGCCTCTTCTCACATGGAGAAGGTTTTTTACAAATTAACAAGTAACATATATTGATTATACTCCATCATGCGCCCCGCGGTGTTACCCGCGGATTTCCGGGTTGTAAAGTAGCCTATGTGTTATTCCTGGACATCAGCTTCCTGTATACAAAATTTTATCAAAATCGGTTCATCTGTTTGAGCGTGAAGAAGTAACAAATATACACACACACACAAAATTTCGCAATTATAATATTAGTAGGATGTATTATATACCCTTAGCTGTTTTAATAGAAGAATATTTGGCAGCAAACACTCTATACAATGAGTAGTCATCAACATCCGCACTAAGGTCGCCGACCCACACTGAGAATTCTCTTTCTTGTTGCATATTAGCTCGTGCCTCTCTAGATGCTGTGTTGAGCCTGAATCTTACCACAGGAAATGTGCCAGGTATCGGTTTACCATTCAATTTGTGCATTGTATCTATAGCCTCTTCATCAGTCTAAAACAATGTATATTACAAACTATGTATATATATTTCACATTATTTCTATAGTTCATATTTAATATTTTATTATTTGTCTTGATTTTATATAATCTCCTATATTTAATCTTATAAATACCTGAAAGTGTACAAAAGCGTATCCCGCCGGTTCTCCTGTAAATTTGTTTCTCATAACTTTAACAGCCAACGGCCGCTGTCCCATTCGGTGAAAAGCTGCTAATATAAAGCTCTCCGTCATGTTCGGCTCCAGCTGTAATAAAATACTTTCTAAATAAATAAAGCAGGAAAATAAATTCTTACTTTTGATTTTGTAAAACTTACACTGCCCATCCATAATTGACACTGCATAGCCATATTTGTTGAGAAATTTAAAACTTAATGTATTAATTTATCAATTATTTGAAATTTTCTGTAAAAAAGTATTGAAATGAATATCAACAAACACAAACTATTGGTGATATGTATTAAATTCTTAGATGACAGTCTACACTAAGGTCAGAATGACAGCGTCAAATATTTATTTATTTTTTGCAAATGTTTTTACGGCTCTGGATAAAAGTTCTTTTGGGCCTAAATTAACAATTTATCGTTTTTCTTCTAATATACATACATTTAGACGCCAAAGTTTTGAATAATTTATGAACCGTTATTGTTTCTTTCAATATTTTTTTTACATCATTGCTACTTTTATATTTAAGTTTTGTGTTAAGGTTATGTATTAGAGATAAAAATATAAATTGATATTTCCTTAATGCTTTAAATTTCTTACAAAAATGGCGAATCTTGTCATGAAAGACATATAGATGTTAATAATTATATACATTAGAATATGTTCTGTATGGATAATTGGTTAATAGGAATTCAGATAATAACTCTGAGCTTTAAAATACAAGATATGGAATATAAGACTAGTTTAAAGGATTTGGGTTGTAATTTAATTTATGTATAATCATAAACCTTAAATCAACAAACTATTGTCCTATATGTACAGTGAGATTATTGCATCACTGATTGATACAGATTAATTTGATGGGGATAAAATGATAGTGACAGGATTTTTAAATTTGTTTATGACGTTATCTATGGTCAACAGTGAGTAATAAGGTATTAACGAGATATGTCATTATAATACATACCTATAAAATACATGTTATAAAACTTGAAAGTTGAAACAACGTTAACACTTGAAACTGGAGACAGTCCTCGTTATACTTACTTGTCTCATCAGATAAGTATTTCATAATTTTCTCATAAAAAATTAAAGTAATTGCCTTGTTTTTTAGGAACAATTACAGTGAATACTAAATTAAAGGGGACTTAAAAATCCGTGGAAAATCTTTGTATATACCTAACCATTGTTCTGTGTTCAAATAAGAAAGGTTAGTCACGAATTAACACAAAGAGGTCATTATCAAAATGTCACGACTAGATAACGTGGATGCACTTGAAAAACAGTTAGCTGAATTGCAAATGGTGAAAAATATAAGTTCACCAGGAAAAGTGAAGAAGATACCACCAGCTGTGCCACCCAAGAAGAAAGCGCAACCCCAAGTTCCCCACAGTTCAGCTATCACTGCTATAAAAGAACCTTCATATTCGTCTAAGATTGCACCACTACAGAACAATGTCGTGCCACCTCCACCACCAACTTACGGCAATGTTCCAAGATTTATGAGTAATGTTCACCCATCACATAAAGATTATGCTAATGTGAAACAACTAGCTTTGCCAAGTCATCCAGTTAGGCAAACTTTACCGCTGCCACCTAAAGCTATCAATCCGCTGAATTATACTAACATGCCAACATATCAAGGCTGCCCCCCACCCCCTCCTCCGCCTCCCTTTTACATGGCGCAGTCTAAAGCTCTAGATTCAAACCATAATAATGAGGAATACTTACCACCACCATCGCCCGTCAGTTCAAACTACAGCGAACTGATGCAAGCAACTGCTAACATAAATTATAATCAGGATCGACAATCATATCCAGCCATATATCAGAATGATTACCCCGAGTATGGAGTGTCACAAGCTTCAACTTATGAATCACTTTACGAACCCATTAATCCTCACCCAGCAAGTGCGAGGCAAAGCAATAATAATAGAGAATTTAAAGGCAACATTCAGCCAAATAAAGGAAAATCTCCGCTGGCTAAGGAAGAAGAAGTTGATGCACTGACAAACCTTTTGGTGCAATCTATATCTGATAGTCAAGATTTGGATGTATTTGGCACCTGTGTCAAATGTAATCAAAAGGTGATCGGGGAGAGTTCAGGTTGCACGGCAATGGGTAACATGTATCATATCCAATGTTTCAGCTGCCACAGATGCAACGCCAATTTAAGAGGTAAACCGTTTTATGCCGTCGAAGGAAATCCTTATTGCGAGACGGATTACTATGAAACTTTGGAGAAGTGTTCAGTTTGCGAGAATCCAATTCTGGACAGAATTTTGCGAGCAACTGGCAAACCTTACCACCCATCTTGCTTTACCTGTGTTGTATGTGGTAAGAGCCTTGAAGGAATACCGTTTACAGTGGATGCGATGAATCAAATACATTGTATTGAAGATTTTCACAAGAAATTTGCTCCTCGCTGTTGTGTTTGCGAGTTGCCGATAATGCCTGAGGAAGATAAAGAAGAAACCGTAAGAGTTGTTGCTGCCGATCGCAGTTTCCATGTCCTGTGTTACAAATGTGAGGATTGTGGCTTGTTACTATCAGCTCAAGCGGAAGGTCGTAAGTGCTATCCACTCGATGGGCACATCTTGTGCAGAGCTTGTAATGCTCATCGTATTCGTCTTCTGACCAATGTTATGACTACAGACCTCTAATTTATCATATTCCTATACATTTATAAAATATTTAAATCATATTGAATATAATGCCATATCAAATTTGTTGTGGTTTAGAATAAGTATTAAAAGTATATTAAAGAAAACTTGCCTTATAAATATTCATATTTATTATGTTAAATATTAATCGGAATATATTTTTGCTAAAAATATTGTTGGAATTATAACATTAAGAAGACTGATGTGTTTTTTGCATTTAAAAATAATATTTAATGATATATAAATATTGGAATTGTGATATTTTTCTATATTATATTTGGAAAGGGGCATATTATTGTATGCAATGTAATATATTGGCATAGAATGCTATTTAACATAATAAGTGCATTTAGTATTTATACAATATGTAAAGCAGCTGTAATAAATGTTTGATATAATTATTTTGTTTTATTATTTTATTATAATACTTCTATAGAAAACTTGCCAACCATGAGACTATCACGATGTCATTCCTTTTTCATGATTAATGTAGGGTTAAGGTTATTTCCCTTTAAAAGTATATTTATTATTGTTGATATTCTTCCCTTCTTTTTACAATTTTTTGTTAATATTCTTGTAATTTTCCTTAAACAAGTAAAAGAATCAATACAAGTTTCAAACTGTCATTTGAATTTAAAAGAAACCATACAACAAATTTGTCAAAAAATCTGGATGAAATAGGAAATGCAAACTTGATATGAAATGCATATAAGTATTGAATTAGTAGTCTGAATTCTTATTTAAATAAAACGCTTATATATTTTTTTAATTAAAGAAATCAATGTTTTTGTTTCTGAGGCCTAAACGGAAAATACTTTTAATTTTGGGAATCAAACTTAATTTCGTAAAATAATTAAGACTAAATATTAAAATTGCAGAATGCAGTGCGTTTATCTTATCCTTTACAGATTTTTATATGATCACATTTTTCTGTGGAAGAAGACAATAATTAATCAATAAAAAATTTTGGTTTACCAACTAACTTTGAAGAAAATTCTAGTACTTTGAAGAAATTAAAAATATTTAAAAACTAAACATAACATTTCACGTATTAAACATATAGCAATTGTTTCAAGAAATAGGTACTAATAGGTATTTTTTAAAAGTGCTGCTTTCCTTGATATTTGAAAGCATATCTAAACAGAACCCTACAATCATATAGAAATCCAATTTGATGAAAATGAGTTTGGAACGAACGAAGATTTAATAGACTTAATAAAATAAAAACAGAGCAGATAGCTGAAATCATTATCTACCTAAGATTTTTGAATGAAAAACCTTAAAACTGCCAATTGTCTCCCTCACTGTACAACGAATCTACTGTAACTTACTGTATTAATCTGTTGCCATAAGTTCTGATTATAAATAAAACTATCTACAAATAGTAAAACCATTTATTATTAATTAAAATAGAGATTAATCCATATTCCATACATTCCTTTGGCATTAATATAAAATTAAAAAGTATCCATCGCACCATTTACAATTCTAAATAATTCTATAATAATTATAATTCATAAATAATTCTATAATATTCAAGACGTATCTTCTGTTGGCTCCTCCTTTACTTTACCTATTGTTGGTTCGCAAATAATCGATTCGTTTGCCTGTTCGTTGAGTAACTTTAGTTCTATATCTGAGAATAACTTTGCCAATTCCAACTTTACATACACTTGTTCTCGGGCGGGAAATTTCTTGAAAGTATCAGCATAGCTTAGAAATAAGTTATCAATGACGTCTAATTCTTTTCTCTTTTTCGGTTTAAATATTTGTATATCGTCTTCGTCTCGTTTATAATCTTCTTGCTGTCGTTTGTTGCTGCGAGGTGAAACTTGTTTGATTGGCGATTGTAATGGAAATGTAGTTGATAGGGGTGAAGAAGCATCCTGTGAGTGGTCGGAATCTGGCGTTGATTGTGAAGTATCCAAAGAAATTTTTGAATACGACGTCCGTGCTGCATTGTGATTTTCAAGAAATGACAGTTGTGGCGCCCATGTATAAGTGACGTTTGTTTTGCTAGAGGCTGGGGAAGTTTTAAGTTGTTTTTTATATTTCGTATAGCCATCCCTTATTGTTTTCCATTTACTTCTTACTGCTTCACCTGGTTTACAAAGGATTGTATTAGGATGACGTACACATTTATTATCATTAATAAATAATATATATGTTGGTATTTTTAATATGGGTGGATAGGGTTAAATTATAGAGTAGTCTCAGTAAAACAATATATAATATATATGGATATATAAATAAGATTGGAGTGTCTGTTTGTAATATTGAAATAACGTATAGAATATATATATACTCCACATACACCAAAAAACATTTTTAAAATGTTTGTCTATCTATTTGTCTATTTGTTCCGGCTAACCTCTAAAATTTCTGAACTAATTTTGACGGGACTTGGTTCTTGAAGTGATAAAGAATAACTTATTCTACTTTATATCCCAATCTCGAAACTAAGCATTATCACAGGCGAGTGGGAGTCGGGGCGCAGCGGTACTTATAAGTTCTTCATTATTTTTGTTTTATTTTTACGCAGACGGAATCGCGGGTAATAGCTAATATTATATAGATATCCATTTGAAAGCTTTATTTACATATGACTATTATAAATTACGAAAAAAATTTACTAAAACTTACAAACAATATAAACGCGTAGCATATCGAAAAATATTACTTTTGTTTTAAAAATGATTACTTAAAATTAAAAAATAACCAAGTTATACTAGCTGCTCTTGTCAGTAGTCGTTGCCAGTTTCACTTTCTTAAATAAAAAAATTAATGGCTAAACAAGAAGAAAAAATTAATGGCTATTTTGAGTTCAAATACCAATGTTCGCTAGATACACGTATGTAACTCGTAAGTACTAATAAAATCTAGTTGATATAGATTTCCGTAGATAGAAGCGATGTACATATTTAGAATAATAAATTTGCTACTTAGAATTTATATTCCTTATTATAATTTTTCTCATCGTTACACTCGATGGTAGCTAATTAAAATTCCATCAAACCGAACTGCTAAAGAAATTTATCGGGACTGCTAAATATGTAGATACAAATGAATTATAAAAAATCAGTATTATTATATTATAAATTTACAATTATTATTCTACTTATGGTATAATCGCTAGCGTTATGTTTAGTTTAAATAAATAAGTTTAGTTTTCACTAAATTTAGGTTCTTCTACAGCCCTAAGATAGTGGCTATTGTGACTTGGGAAGCATACGGAACAAAATATATACCTATTGCGATTATATTTTTTTTACGTCTACCCGTTTTCAATCTACATAAAAGTAATTAATTATAATGTAACAAAGAATCGATCGTTATATTCGAGTGTATTTCAAGGTTTTCGGAGAAATTTCAGGGTGTTCCTTATCATTTTAAGATAACGGCGAAATTTTTTTGCGTTTTCGTACGGGAAAAATGACATTAATGATTGGTGCGAATTTTTTTTTTGTTTTTTTATTAATATAAGTACTATAATATATACTAGTTAATTTTATAATTATTTTCAACTTTATTAAACGAATTAACTAAGAGTTTTGATTTTTAAAGATGTTATATGTCTTATTTTTTTTATGTAAAAGTTGTAATTTACGGACGGACGGTTTATTTCAACAAAATTATGACACTTGATCATTTTCACGATGATTTTTCCATCTCGTCTTAGTGATCACGGTTGTTGCAAAGTAACCAAAACGTCGGGAGTATGTAGATAAAGTAATAAAAAACGCGTAGTATACAGGGTGACTGGTGAATTACTATCAATATTTAAGGACGTGGTAGTTGACGATCATATATGACAAAATAAAAATTAATATAACATAAATATTAATAAACTTCTGAGTAAAGTTAACCTAAAGTTATGTAATTAATTACGCATCGTGTGAACACCCTACAGATTAGGTATACACTGACACTCACACATACGCGTGTCGTGACGTAGTGTTGTATCAGCACGCCCCCGCACGCGTCCACACTTGAACACTTGGAACGTGTCAACACTTTATTTATTTATACGGAAATTTGGTCAAAAATTCAGTACCTATTTTTTTTACATAATTCGAATGAGAATCATGTACCGAGTATGCTCCTTAAATATTGATAGTAATTCACCAGTCACCCTGTATACATCCGAAAATATTAGTTTTATTTACTCAACGAATGTTTAAAAAAGAATGACATAACATAGAAGGCATATAAAAAATCTGTTCCGCTACATGCGACTTAGTGCAAATAAATTTTTATTATTATTTCTTCCCAGCAATCCTTTTAATGAGACATCTACATCGAGGCTGCACAAAAAAAACTATCCCACCATTTTTATTTTTCCAATTATTATTAAAAATCAATTATTATAATTTATCTATAGTAACGAGACTCACAAAAGATTAATTGGCTGTATATTTTACGCCGTTCCCGAATTATATTTAAAAATTTATAAAAGATATCGCGAACATAAAATTACATTGATCAAAGCAAAATCTACCTACATGCAAAATTATACATCTATCGGCTGAAGATGACTCATTAAAATCTTTTTATCATAAAAATCTTACATTTTTAATAAATATTATAATTACATTACCTATTCCAAAATCTCTTTATAAAATATTCGCGCGTATATTGTTAACCTATACAGTTCCATTACAAATACATATTGCAATACAACTATAGCTATCTCAGATAAGACAGTGCGAGTGAAAAGGAAAGTAAATATTCACCGACCGGCCGCGCCACGCTGTGGTTGACGGATCCTATGCACCGTAAGTATTGGTCACATCGAAATGATTTAATTTTAATGTCAAAGTACCGACTTAATTTATAAATAAATATATTTTTATTATTATACAGGATAGTATGTCCCATATATTATCTATACACGATAAAACAAGTATAATAACAGCACTTATTTCAAATGGCACTATTAATCAGTAATTCAAACGCCGATACATAATATCGTATAATAAATATTACAATGTCTTACCGCTATAATTTAATTCCCTTCCTATAGATTCCCAAACTTTAGTTTTAAGATTAGTATTTTTGTATTGATGATGGCTCAGGTCGTACAAAAAGACGTAGCCTTTGACGATTTCAATTAATTTCAGTACTGTTTCATTGTCCATAACGCTAGCGTCCCGTCGCGCGCGACGTGTTCCCGTCCCGTTCTGTTGGTGACTGCGACGGGCTACTCGTAAAAGGGGAAACGCCGCGCCCCGGTACCGCCGCGCCCCGCTACCGCTGCCGCCCCGCTGGCCGTGATAGTCGACGCGGTCGGCGCAATGAGCCGTCAATTTATACAACAATTTCCAATACGTCACCATTTCGCCATTCCCGCGTTAACGAAATTATAGTCTAATACGAGGTACTTTCGTTTATTAAAGGATAATATTGTTGTTTAAAACTCGAATATTCACACAATGTTCTTGATTGTAAACGAAACAACATGATTTTTATTTTAATAAAAATTCTCTTTGGATAGAAGAAATTTACTGAAGAATGATTTTTAAAAAAAATAGAAAATTTATTAATATGGTTGACATTTCTAGTGATGAATACTGAATAGTTAAATTCATTATTATCGTCGTCTCGCGACTATATAAAGTCCTAATACATATTTATTTATACGTATATTAGTAAATATGCATAATGTTTATTTAAGAAAATAATAATACTTATGACAAAATTTTTATCTATGAAAGAATTATTGGTTTCGTAATATCGATAATATATTCGTTCTAAAAATAATTAGGTACATAAATATGATAAAATTGTGTATAAATGACGATTGGTTTGCTGAATTTGGCTAACCCATTACTAAGACGTCATTACAGGTAGCATCACTTGTGGTATATGATAGTTACAACTGTATAAGTTGAAAAACATAAGTCTTACTCTGTTGTATGTAACTCATACGCGGCCATGATTGTGATTTTACCCACCTCGCGCCCCGCGTAAACAATTGCATAGGCATATACATCAGTTTAATCCGTTCGCGTTTGAAAATTACAACATGCGTCTGACAAATCCTTTAAAAATAGTGTTTTTGTTGTTTTTTCAATTTAAATGGATGTAATGATCCATAATTGGATAATTTTTAGAAAAAAAGCCTAAATAGCAATTTTGTGGCATACAACAACTTACGTGGGAGGTATCGATTTATTTCCATTGTATAGAAAAATATTCATAATTTTTAACAAAAGTAGCAAAATAAATTACAATAATTTTTTAAATTGTCTCATCCACCAAAGTCCAGAACGCTATATAAACATTGTTTTTTGCTACATACTTTGTATGAATTGATAATATTTGTTGTATTTCCATAGTTGCTTTTGCGATTTTCACAACAATTTCTCAATATTCCGCAAGACGCTAATATCGAGTGATATACAGCGTGTTCTAAAAAATGTGTCCTCCCTTGAAGGCATGTATACATATAAGTATGAGATTATTATTAAAAATAGTATAACTTAAAAAATATCAAGCAGAGGTCAGTTACAGTGCATAGGCTAAATAAGTTTTAAATCGACATTATTTGAAAAAATGTTCCAAACATCTGACCGATGAACGGTTAAGGCGCCGTATAATTTAAAATTAGGTATATCGCTAAATATTCTACCGATATTTTCAATATTGCTATAAAAAGTTATGCTTTTCACATTAAAATAATTTCATTTAAAATAACTTTTATTAATAATAAATATTATTAATCTATATTATAATTTGGAACTTCTTCAGGTAAATTAACTATGTTGTATTATTAGGATAAATCGTTAATCCACTTCTGTTAAAAATGGCGTTTTACAATCAAAAATAATATTAATGTTTGATATATCAAAATAAGTATCGAAATAATAGTGTTGGTAATAGTATACAATATAAAATGTGTATATATATAATATATGAGAATTTACATATAATTTAAAGTTACTTATTGAAGGTATACGCAATTATGGTCGACTTTTTCTTTAGAAATAACACCGATTATTATTATTCTGGTCAGCTAAAAATATGGAAATTGCTAGGTATCTAGTAATTTATTTATGAAGACATTTTTTTATATCATTTTGCGTCGAGAAATATTAACATTATGCTTAATCCCATTATTGTAAAACATATTTGACCTCAGTTTATAATGATTTCTTTTCCGAGGGCAAGAAAAAAAAATCTGTGAGCTGCTGAAATATCAGGCTGACTTTTAACATTGTAGTTTTATACAATCCCTGCACATTTTCATTACAGAGAGAAGTTTATAGAGGCTATAATTGAAATATTTGATGTCACTGCAATACACACGTTTTAGAGACAATAAAAAAGCAGAGTAGCTGGAGTAATATGGTTACAATGGGTAGTTATAATCATTACATCTGTAGTAAGTCTTTGCCCTAAATCTGCAATTATGGGTGCAAAAATACCCGACACTGCTTTTATCGAAATAAGTAGGAATTTTAGAGGAAAATGTAAGGAAAACCATCAGTTATAAATTAAAAAAGAAAATTGATTTGTGTACTTTGTACGTGTGATAAAATTATCCCATTATTACAAATTCATCTGAGGGTTTAGTTAATGACGCAATTGTAGAAATAAAGCGATCTAGTAATCAAAATCTATGGATAAATATTCAACAAAATACCTATGTTATTTCTAAAAACGTAAAGTTCAGGTAGAAATAGAAATTATTACGAATACAAATATTTTTGATGACCTTAGGTACACTTCAAATTTTAATGATATTTTAAGTAAGTCTAAGAATAAAGCTATAAATAATACCAAGTATATCATTCAATGTAAAAAAAAACTGTGATTTTTGGTGGTAAACATTTTAAAAATGTAAGTTTATTATATTACATACCCCCTTCAGGTTCAATCTCTTCTGGTACGATATTTAAATCTTTCTGCAAGTTCTCTGTCATGTTCTGACTTTAAAGTAAACTCTGTTCTTTAAATAGTATGACACTTTTCTTTTTCGTTTAGCAGTTCTTGCCTTATGATGATAAATGTCGCCCAACCGACGTTTATCTTGTTGAAAATAAAATTTACTTGCCACCGCCTCATCTGACAAAAGTAACTACAAACTAAAGACCATTTTGCACTTTATGTAATTAAAAGTATTATTCTTCATCTGAAATGAAAAGATTTAAAAAGTTTCTGCTAATCACGAAAGCAACATATTCTTACTTACATCACAGTGATTTTCATACATAAAAACATTTATATGTAAAACAATACTGTTTGTAAATAAACAAATTTCAAAACGGCAAATATTGCAAAGATTTTCGCGAGTTTTATTCATTTAAATGAAACTAATATTTTTCGGATATAGTACACTTATTTTAAACTACATACTCCCGAAATTTCGGTTACTTTTCAGCAACCGTGATCATCTCGTCTGCCCGTGACATTAATATATTGTACTTATATACATAGTGATACTAATATTTATTAATTTCATATAAATGTGGTGTATTAATAATATTGTAACGAATAATTTAAAAACATTTTTCATAATCATTCAAATAACTTATCCAAAGATATGCTAATTATACCATAACAATGACTTCTATCTCCTAGGGATTTGCTCAAGTCAGATAGAAATGTGATTACTATGATAGGCGTTTATTATTAAATGTTAATACTCTGATAATTAATTAATATTCCGGCATATTACGTACACTATCGCCTCATTTTTACATTCCCATTGTGTCTTGTATTTTAAAAGAAGTTTTAATTCAGTACTAAAGTATTTTAGTTGAGAGATATTAAAAGAAATAATCAACACCATTTATTTCTTATTGTAAATCTTTATTATATACAAAAAAAGCTTCACAATGTACAATACTGGCAAAAAAAACAATAAAGGCACTTACATCACAGTTTTTTTAAATTTTTGGAATGCTTTTACAAAACAACTCGTATCAATGGAAGCACGCGTTTTCAATATTTTAGTGTATTCTGAATAATATATAAAAAATGAACAGAAAATATACAAACAGGATAAGGATTTTTTTTTAATACTTTCATGCTTTGCATTCTACTATATAAAAACTTGGACCAAATCACTGGTTATACATTAAATATAGTTTCGGAACTTTAATGATATAATATAAAAACTATTTATAGACTAAATAGTTTTCAGTCATATATTTTTTTAATATTAGGGATGGGTGGTTTTAGGAACCTTACGATATTGTGCCGACGTCCGGTAAATGTTTATTCGGTAAATTGTATAAAAATGACTACACTTGTGATGAGATCTATGTCGATATTGACTTTAAGTAGTTATATCTTATTTAACTATTTCTTATATATGATTAATTTGCCATATAGGAACTTATACGTAGAACCGATTATACTTTATGTTTGAGTTTTGTGTTAAACCTCGGCGGGCTAAGTACCTGCTTCATGAATATAGATCGTTTGTCTTTGAGATTTTTCGAGGAAGTTTGAGATTCTAGTATCGAATTACATTTTACGTCATTAGATAATTCATTTGATTGTTTAAGAGGTGATATATTTAAATCGTGATGAGCGTCGAAGTGATTCTTGACGTTCATTATGTTAGAATCAAATTGTTGGGACAGATTTTCCGTGCATTGATATAATATTTCTTCATCGGAGTGTAAGTTTGTCTTGGGTTCGAACCTTTCTCGTAAAATGGAGAATTTTCTCCTAGGTCTCGTTCTGCCGTTTTTCTTAATATTTGATATTTTAGCGGTGGAAGTATTGACTAAGTTCGTTGTAGTATCTTTTTGTATAAGAGATTGTAATGACGGGGTTTTGCGACTTAATGTGAATTCATCGACCGTGTTCATAGGCAGAGAATTCTCAGACACTAACTGCCATAAGAAGTCTATATCTTTATTAGAAAGGTCGTGAACTTGTTCTGTTTTATTATTGAGTTTCTTATTTTGATTTTTAGTAGAATTCATCTTCTGTCTCCGTGGAATGGTTTTGTGTTGGGTATTTACATTAAGCTTAGCAGATAAAGGCAGGATATTCAAATCCTTGTTGGAATCAAATTTAGAGCCGTGAGACGAACCAATGGCAATGTCTTTCTCTTGTAATGAGTCCATTTTATTGCTAGAATTAAATTTATACGGTTCCTTCCAAATGGCTTTCTTTAAACTAATCTCTGTGGTGTCTGAATGGAATTGTGGTGAATCCCATTGATTATCCCACTGTTCTCTCCTGTAATACGGATTTCTAGGGGAATTAGTTGTAGTCGCCTTTCTTATCTCGTCTATAGTAGCCACCAGAGAACTCTCAGAATTCAGTCTTTTCTTACACGAAACATCAATATCTCCAAGATCGTCTAGTTCTTCTAATATTGGTTCCAAATGGTTCGGATCTTTAGTCAGATCTATGATGCATGGTTTAGCTAAGAAGGTGTCATCGTTTGAATGACACATCATAGTGTTGGTGTAATCTTCTTGACTGCTTCTTTCAAATTTGACGAACACGTTTGAATAGGTATGCGGTTTTCTAGGGAACGATGGTGCGGATAGTATAGCGTTTTTTAGTTCCTGTGACAAACAGCTGCTTATTTCCGAGCTGCCTGACGTCAGAGTGTCTCTGCTTCTATCCCTGACTACACTACCGTCGTGTAACCAGTTCTCTATATCGCAGTAACCATTCCAAGACCGTAAACCCCAAGCTTCTCTTGCTATATTAACGGCGCAAATATTTTCATAATCATGCACTGATAGGATCTCGGTTGGCGTGTCTAGATCTCGTTTGGACTGAAACAGATCGGTCGTTATACCATTTTTTATCTTATCTTTCTTAGTATACATTTCTTTGAGTATATCGAGTGCTATCCTTTGTATGTTTTCTATATCCGCGTCTTGGTTGCCGACTTTAATGTTCTTGAGTGCGCTTAAACAGAGCTTTTGCACTATATTCTCATTGAATGTGTTTATATCGGAACTGTTTATATCACTGAAACTTAAATCTAGATCCATATCTATAGAATCTGATGATGTTTTCTTGTTGGAGCCGTCTGTGTCGTGACTGAGTTCTGAGCTGTGATCGTTCTTAAGTGACTTAGCGAACGCTTCATTCACTATATTACACGCTTGTAAGTTGAGGTTATTCAAATCATCCCTCAATTCGTCAGACGAACAAATGCCACGTCGCTTCTGTATGTTTAACGTGCTCTTTGTGAGCTCGTCGATGGAACTTTCTAAGTTTTCCAATGATGATAATTTCAGGTTTAGTTCAGTGGGAAAGCATATTTTCTTTTTTGGTTTGATATTCGTCGTGTTATTTGTGTTCTCTCTGGTCGTCTGCGGAGTGTTCTCGACTGTATATAACTCGATGCTTGAATCCATGCTAATATTTCCAACGGGCGCCGATGTGAAAGTAGGTGAACCAGATCTCGCAATCCAATGGTCTAATAGGAATTTCTTATCAGCGTTTTCGCTATCGTTCTGTGGTAGTGGCTGGTTGCCGGTTGTCGTATCGTTCCTGAAAATTATTACGATAAGTGTTTAATCAATGAACAATGTCCGCAAAATTTTCTATATACCCGTAAAAAATATGAGTAAAGTTTAGAATTTTATTCACAAATAAATAAAATTAGTATCTATTTGTGATATTAAAATTATTGTTGTTTACGTAATGCGTGTAATAAAACAACTTCTTTTTTAATTTATTTTTAGCTTATTTCTGAAACAGTCGAAGAAATTTGACGCTGTTTTAATAGACGATTAGCAAATATGGGTTATTTTTTGAATTTTTGATTCATTTAATGTATATTAAAAACGCGTGAATGAAGTCGCGGGCATAGCTAAACTATGTGTAAATAAGATTTCCAACGATATATTGACTCATTACGACATCTCTACAACCATAAGGTGCACAGACTTGAAATTTAGTAGGAATATTCCTTTCGCCGAGTAGAGGTCAGCTGAGAAAGGATTTTACGAGATACCATCTACAATTCTCTATATGTGATAGTTTCTACAACTATCTGTAAGCTAACTTTATTTTCCTTGTTATAATGACTAAGGGGTGGGTGTTAATGAAAATTTTTAATTTCCAAGTAATAACACATTTAGAGTATAAATTTTGTATGAATTTTCTGTGGGTGACGTAAGAAATATTTATGAACGAATTCAAAGATATCTACTTAGCTGTTAACAATGAAAAATTTTAACATCTGTATTTTATGCCACGCAAAGCTGCCGTGAAACTTCTATTTCTTTACTAGCTTTCCGCCCGCAGCTTCACCCGCGTGGTGTTCCGTTATATCGCGTTTCCAAGAGAACATTTCAAAAGTCTGGGATAAAAACTATCCTATGTTCTTTCTCAAGGTCAACTCTATCTCTGTACCAAATTTCATTAAAATCAGTTCAGTGGTTTAAGTGGTTTAGGCGTGAAAGCGTAACAGACAGACAGACAGAGTTACTTTCGCATTTATAATATTAGTAGGGATATAAATGTCACAGTCATACTATAATTCAATTACCTTTCTGCTTCCACGCTTGTGTTATATGTTTTAAATGATCTAACGTTATTCAAGCCGTTAATTTTATTATTTTTACTATCATTATTTTGCGTCACAGTTTTATTGTTTAACTCAACGTCGTCTTGGGAATTCTTCCACGGTATTGGTCCTTTGGAATGAAAGTATCTGTAGTATAATATCATTGCCACGATACCTGGAAAAATATGCGTTTATATATGGGGGTAATCACAAAATGATAAGATTAAATCAATTAATTGAAACTAATATTTTTCGGATATGCATACTACGCGACTTTATTACTGTAAAAAACTACATACTCCCGACATTTCGGCTACTTATAAGCAACCGTGATCACGGGCAGATGAGACGTGACGTAGCATATCCGAAAAATATTAGTTTCATTTAAATAAATAAAACTTCCGAAAACCTTAGATCTCATTGGATTAAATCAATATTGAAATTGTTCAAACAAGTGAAACTACAATAATAATTATTATTATTATACAGGGTGACTGGTGAATTACTATCAATATTTAAGGAGAATACTCGGTACATGATTCTCATTCGAATAATGTAAAAAAAATAGGTACTTAATTTTTGACCAAATTTCCGTATAAATAAATAAAGTGTGGACACGTTCCAAGTGTGGACGCGTGCGGCGGCGTGGTGTTGTATCAGCACGCCGCCGCACGCGTCCACACTTGATAGTAATTCACCAGTCACCCTGTATATGGGACATAATTATGATAATTAACATGATTTCTGCTCACCAATAACTGTTCCTGTTATAACACATACAGTTGCAGCGATTGACCACGGCTTCTTTTGTCTTTCCAAGTCAGATATTAATATATATAGGAACAAACTGCCGAAATTTTGGGTCACTATCAGTGTGTAGAACATCAATAGTCTATATCTAGTGTGACCCTCTCTAAGATTTATATAACAGAAACAATACACAAAACCCATCACAGCATTATAAAAAGTCTCTTCTAATTTATTCGGACAGAAGGTCGTTTTCTGTGTAATTATCCAAAACGTCATCGCTGACCAATGCAAACCTGTAAGGAAAATCTTTAAGCTTTTATAAAAATATATACATATTTGCTTAATGAAAACATAATTTAAGCATACCTAATGGTATAAGTGCCCATATACCGAATATTATGCTGAACAACAATATACCCGCGATTCTTCCTATTAAAATTCCAAAATACCATACAAGTTTCAGAAATATGGAGCTCCATTTGAAGTTATCGGTGGTGAATGTTGTGATACTGTATGTATATGTAACACAACCCCATATCACAGATGCTATCGATGCTACCAGAGCAAACACTGAAAAACAAATTAGAAGTATTTAGTGTTTCATTAAGTAGTAAGTATAGTATATGTAGTGGTCAGAAACTTTATAAGAATAAAGTAGTAATGATAAATATTAATATTTATATAATTAATTAAATAATATGAATGAAGTCTTGGTAAATCATAATCTTTTGGCTATAAAAAAATTCTGGTAGTTTAGTGTTAAAATTATTTAAAAATATATGCATGTATATATATAAAATATATGTATGAAGTTATTATTACCTTTTGTATGATAATTTCCATTGAACATAACAACAGAGTATGTTTGTAATATAATTTGTGGTACAGTCCCTGTGAATACATACAGGAAATGCAACAAACTAAGATCATTTCTCTGGTTTATTAACTTCTGTGTTTTCATTGACTCTAAATTTTTACAGGAGAATACCTTCTGCAAAAATATTATGTATCTGTAACAAGAAAATGTGATAAATATGAACAAAATGATATTAATTAATTTTTGATGGTATTATATATTTATATTTTATTTACCTCTCCAACAGTCCAACTAAACAGCAATGTGTTATCCAGTTACGAAGATTAACTTGCGTATCAATTATATACCATCTTAGTGAAAAAATATTAATTAAAATATTTGGGCACAATATAAATATCATTGTTGAGAACGCCCAATATAAATAACCATCCTTACAATATTCCGCAAATACTAAAACATCTGCAAAATTTAAAGTTTTATAATTCATTTAATTTTTTTTTGTTTACGAAAAACTTATTTCAATTTTATTTTTCTATTTCGACAAGATACATTATAAAACATTAAAATGAATTCTATACTGACCAGTAGTTAAATCCGCAAGTATAGATACAAGGGATATAAATACACTCAAAACATTAAAAACACAATAGTTTTCATCTTGAGTGCATGCAGTCTTTTTGTTAGTTAAAGTTCCAAGCCTACAAGCTTCTGCCATGATAAAATAACATTCATAATGATATAAAACTGTCCTTTGCAGATTTTTTATTTATAATCCTATAAAAAACACCATGTTTCTGAGATAAAACAATTTTTCTATGTATTTAAAAGTTGCTATAAAAATCAATTCAACGGCGGCGCGGACGCAAGTCCGAGGTCGCCGCACTCCATTCGCTTTGTCATAGACAATTGCTTTTGTTTTGTTGTTTATTTTATTTGTTTTACAATTTAATCTGTATTTCTGAACAATTTTCAAGCTGGTTCATATTGTATATCATTTTTGATAGAAATATTCACATTCAATATACAATATTATTATTTACTAGAGTATACATAAAATAAATTTAACAAATTTTCGTAGTTTTCAATTCGATATTTATTGTAATTCAGCATATAAAATCACATTTAAAAAAGGATTTATATTTTTGGTCCCACGAAACATAGAGTTTTGGTTTTGTCAACTGTCTAAATTAAATTACTGTTCAAATGTTATTTTGAAGTTAGATTTGTTATTAAATAAATTTTAAATATTAATATCGCAGTTCACTTAGGCTTATAATTAATTATTAATTTGAGAGTGAAATGCAATAAAAAGTCATAAAATGATCTACGATGCCTTATTAATGTTATGGGATTGTTCCCGAAACGCAAAAGTTTCGCAGGTACATTGTAAAAAAATATTTTTTGTAATTTATTTGAATATGTTGAATTATATTCTACTTATCTTAAAAATTTCAGCCCGAACCACTTTCGTACGCCAATGAGGGAGACTCAATAGTCTTAGGCAGAATATATGAAATAGCGAAAAGTCATCATGAAATACAAAACTTTACATTAGGGACAGGATTTCACTCCAGAAAATCACAAACAAGTTCGTATTTACTCCTCTACACTTTTAAACATAATAAAATTGTTCTGATATTTTAATAACAATGTTTATAATATCTTAAACCAATTTTTTTATTAAGTTTAACTACTTTTTATCAAAATTAATGAAAAAATCTTTTTTAATAGGTGCTGGGCATAGATCCAATGGGCTATATGGTCAAGCTTTGAGCGAAGGAATTTCTGAAGTATTAGAATCATATAAGAAAACCCTTAAAGAGGTGGAAAGCTTAATTATTGGTAACCAGAATTACACATTAGCCTTTGTATACAGTTATGTGGAGAAGTTCCAAGGTCTATTCCATACTTTAAACAAAATAATATCTACCATCAAAGAAAGAAGACTGAGTGGTTGTCAAATATTAAGCCTGGTGCATCAGTGTATTTTAAGTGGCGATAAAATGGTTCACGAAGCCATACTAAAGTAAGTTCAACAGCTAAAATATTAATATTAAATTTAGGTACAGAGAGGAGCTTAGACAGTGGAGGTGAGCGTATAACGCGTGTTAGATAAGGGGCCCCTTAAACCTACACCTGGGTCGCAAGTCCCAGTCGCTGTTGAAGCTCCTCTCCCTGCAACAATGGACCTGGCACCCACACCATGAATTCATTGAATAATAAAGGGATTTGTCTCATTTATTTTCAATTTATAATTTGCATTTTCTTTCAGAATATTTACTTGCATAAATAATGTATTTATCAACCAATTATGTACATGGTTACTGTATGGTGATCTCAGAGATCCTTATGAAGAATTCTTCATATACAAAACAAAGAAGAATGATGTCTCAGATACATTTCTATCAACACCATCTTCCTCTAATACTTGTGATAAATCTCTTGTGTCTACAGTGAGTATATATAAAATTATATCCATTGTTATATTGCTATACAAGGTATTCAAAAATATTGTCCTATCTATTAACAGTCCGGTTAAATTAAACTAAAAAATAAGAGTAAAGTTACCTAAATTTCTACCAAGCTGAAAATCGGTAAGATTGTTTAAAATATCATTAAAACCAAAATTTGAAAGTTCCCATCTTTCCCCTGTAAGGAAAATTTTTTTATCAAAGTCAAAGGTAAAAAAAATTAGTTTCGGGATTTTCAGCAAAATGGAAAGTTTTATCATAAAAATATCTCAGACAAAAAATTTAGATCGTAAAATTATCTACAAAGAATTAATTAATACTATTTTTTCTACGAGCCACCGTTTTTGAGATATAACGATTCAAAAAGTTGTAATCGTCATAACATGCACACGTTTCCTCGCCACCTATGAGGTAGTGTACTTAGCGCGTTTTTTTGTGGTTTGCCCGGTAGGCCTATTCCACGGGTCAGTTTTGATCTTGTTTAATTTGAAACTATTGAAAAATAATGGATATTACAAGAGATTGAAAAGATAAAAGCAATTTAAGTTAAAAAAAAGTAGTGAAATTTAAACATCCGAGTCGTAAATTTTAAAATCTTCTTGTTCTTATTATTCTTGTTCATCTTCATCCTGACTGTTTGTTGTTCAATATTAGATCACAACCAGCCTTGACAATGTGTACATGTAGAGAACAGAACAGTCCGAATTTTTTGAAACCACATTTAGCTCAACATCCCTTTTTGCAGTTGCAAAAAGTCGAGTTCAGCAGTTTTTCCGTCGCAGGTGGAAGTAAAGTGTAAAAAATATTTTAACATATATTACAACTATAGAGATGTATATACGTGCCGTACTCATGCATTTTATGACGATTACAACTTTTTGAATCGTTATATCTCAAAAATGGTGCCTCGTAGAAAAAAATGTATTAATTAATTCTTTGTTGATAATTTTATGATCTACAATTTTTGTCTGATATAGTTTTATGATAAAACTGACCGCTTTGCTGAAAATCGCGAAAATCTGATTTTGTTTACCTTTGACCTTGAGTAAATTTTTTTCCTTACAGGGAATGGGGATGGGGATTTTTCAGATTTTGTTTTTAATGATATTTCAAACAATCTTACCGTTTTTCAGCTTGGTGGGAATTTAGGTAACTTCGAATGTCTTATTTGACCGGACTATAACTGTCAATTTTTGAAGCATACAGAGTGTAAATTGTTTTCTTAATTTATGCCTTCAACATCATTTGCATGAATAAAGTATTTAAACAATACATATTGTAGTGTTTGTATCTATACATTATAGATAACACACTGTCTTACGTACCCCACTAAAGGGGGCGGCACTCGCTCTAGCGCATCGCTCTAGACTAGCGCGGAGCAGAACGGGGACGTGTGCATGCGCTCTAGGCGGGATAGTAGTAAAACAGTGACTAGTTATTCTTACATATAGAACCAGGGGTCCATCTCATATGATAACTAATAGTACTGCCATCTATATTCTATAGCATGTCATAACTTCTAACAAAATATAAATGCTACAATACTATGGAAACAGAGTAGAATATGGTGAAAATTATCTTATTTTTGTGTTTAAAGAACATTATTGTAAAGTTTGAACAAAATCTGCAAAGCATTATTTTTGTGAGAATGCAACTAATATCCTCACAAACTTTCACATTTATAATACCTATTAGTAAAACTAATAGGATTTCAAACAGTTTGCATAAATAATACATAAGTTGAATAGTAAAAAATGGAAAAAAAATGTTTTTTTTTTTAATTATCTATTTGAATTATTGTATTGAATATGATTTGTTTCAAAGCAATAAATTTATTTATAAGACTTTTGTGTCAGAGAAGATATAAGTATGTAGTAATTTTTCTTAAAAAATATATGTATTTTGTTTATTTTTCAGCTTCAACAAACACCATTGGACTGTGGATACAATATAAATCCTAATATGATACCATATTATATTCCCCTTTCATTGGCACAAGAGATATTGTTCATTGGCAAAACGGTTATACTGTTTGGATTTGATCCGAAAAAAGTAAAAAAACACAGTTCACTAACAAATAGATCTATGTTAACTTTGCAAAAGATGAATGCTGATTCTAGAAGGTATATGAGTTTTATATAATTACTTAATGAGACATATGAAGTCAGTGGTGGCCCAGTGGTTAAAACGCCCGCCTCTCAAGCGTGAGGGCGCGGGATCGATCCTGGCAAGTACCAATGTGATTTTTCCGAGTCATATGTACTTTCTAAGAGTATTTAGAAATCACTGATTAATGCTGATTCCCAAAAGAGGGTTGATGTCAGGCAGGCCTCCGGTCGTAAAAAACGATTAGCCAAAACTATTCACAACATGTAAGGTAGACCCTGGCTAAAGCTGGGAAATTGCCAGGTAGAAGAAGGAGAATACTTAATGAGAATACTTACTTAACTTCATATAAATTGACTTGGCTTATCGAAATTAAATTTTTCTCTTCACTCTAAGAGTATTTACAATATGTATTTAAACTTGTATAAATAATGAAGTTTAACATTTTGCATTAAATCTTTTTTAAGTAATGGTCTTGGAAATTTAAATCATTACGATATATTTCTTATTGTGGATGTTATTTTAAAAGCTTTTAACATCCTAAACATGGATAATGAAATAAGGCGGCTAATTTTATATATAAGTCATGTGTTTTATTGTGAAGTGTGCTACATTATATATAATATTATAACAATCAATAGATTCACCATATGGGAGGAGAAAGAGGCGGAGTTCCATGAAAAGTTACAAAAACTCAAAACACCCGAATACTTTGAAGTGTGCAATTTGAGAAGTGTGGTTCGTGAAATCAAGGAGTGTGTCACTAAGGTAACATTGTTATAATTAATGTAAATAATGAAGGAAGAATTTATCCATTTTTCTTAAATATTTATGTCATGTAATTAATCATTCACACAGATAATGAATTTAAAATATATATAGAAGCATTTCTAAATACAATAAATTTATGTGAATCAAGCGGAATTCTATACTGCTGACTCTGGTCATTCATCCACGGAGATGATCTCGGCAACCAAATGTCCGATAGTCAAGATTTATTTTGTTTAATACCCCAGTTATCTGAGGCAGTTTTTGTCAAAAAAATATTTGGTCGGCCAATGTCAATTTTAAGATATTAAAACTGAATTCATATCGAATAAAACAAACAATTTACAGAAACGCTAAAGTCGCTTCACTCAACTTACACCGAGAGCTATTATTTTTGCGAAACGTGCATCCCCTTGTTAATATAATATATAGTTTTTTGAGGTGGTAGAGCCTAGCTGTAGTCAGTTACTACAGCTCGAATATGTGCTGGCTCAACCGGGGAAGTACCACCCTCTCACAGAAGATCGGCGTGACGTAGCCTTTAATGGCTGCGATTCGTCCGATGAGTGAGAGAGCCGGTTGCCCTTTCCTTATTCCACCCTTTCCTACTATTTCCTTATTCCCACCCCTCCCTATCCCTAAAAAAAACCAGGTTGACAACGCAACCGCAACAAAGATGTTGCGGATGTCCATGGGCGAAGGTAACTACCTTCCATCAATTGGGCCGTCTGCTCGTTTGCCACCTTTAAAATAAAAAAAATCGTAATATCTTACTAATAGTTTTTTTAATTTTCCCAGCATCTATGGGCTGTAGCAGTTGAGGAAGCACAGTTAATACACGAACTTCATCTCATGAAGGACTTCTATTTGTTGGGACGAGGGGAGTTGTTCTTAGAGCTATTGAGATTGACTGCTCCTATGCTTGATAAAGCAACTACAAGGACATCTACTAGAGGTAAAAATTTAGTACTTATAAAAGATTTCTTCGGCCATACTCTTTGACAGCTAAGTTTAGCACATAAAGAATGTGCGGCAGATTTTTTGGGCCTCTGAAATCAGTTTAGAATTAAGCTAATTAAATATCTGCAGTACCAATAATAATAACCAATAATAATTTTTGAGGTGGTAGAGCCTAGCTGTAGTCAATTTACTACAGCTCGAACATGGGCTGGCTCGACCGGGAAAGTACCACCCTCTCACAGAAAATCGGCGTAAAGTAGTCTTTAAAGGCTGCGTTTCGTCCGGTGAGTGAGAGAGCCGGTTGCCCTTTCCCTTTTCCCAACCTTTCCTTTCCCTCCCTTTCCCACCTTTTCCTCCTCCTTTTCCCCAATCAAGGGCGGCAACACATCCGCAAATCTACGTTGCGGATGTCCATGGGCGACGGTAACTACCTACCATCAAGTAGGCCGTCTGCTCAGTTGCCCCCTTTTCCCATAAAAAAAAAAAATAATAATGTTATAGGTGAAATTCTAGCATAACCTGAAAATTCTAATACCTCATGTTGACGTACCTTCATAGTATGATAATACCAATAAACCTAGATCAATATTCTATGAATTTTATCTTACATATTATAATATTATTAATTAATTTTAATATTTTCATCCCAGATATGAACCATGCGTTCCAACTAGCTGCCAGAGCGGTATTTCTCAGTAATAGTGTAGATGTTGAAAAATTTAGTTTCGAGTTGCCATATGTTAAACCAAACATATCTGCTAATTCTACTATAGAAGATGGTAGTAGTACAGGTGAGTACAACCATCTTTTCCTATATCAACTTTATGAGGTTTTCCTTATATAAATGCTTTTAAAATTATAAAACAAAATACCTATTCGAATTGGAGAATTTACAGGTATATTGTTTATTAATAATGAGTTATTATATTTAATTAATTCAAATAGTTCAATAGTTTTCTGGCAATAATTGTTTTGAATGTCATATGAAATAGAAAATGCTTTACTTATACATTAATAATACAAAAAATAAAATTTAATAGCTTCTTATATTTGATAATATTATGTTTATTGTATGTTTTGCAACTTGCAGTTGCCGATGGTTGGTCGACAATTATTCTTAAGTATGACTTCAAATGGCCTCTACACTTACTTTTTGCCCCGGAAGTGCTCGCTAGATACAACGACATGTTCAGACTATTGTTGAGGATAAAGAAAACACAGCACGACTTACATGCTCTGTGGAAAACTTATAAACAATCAACAAGGTAATTCACAATGTATTTATAACTCTGGACATTCTTATTTAGTGCTATAATCACCAATCTAATAGGAAATTTTTATAATCAGATTATTTGAATTAATAATATTAATTCTTATATTGTGATATTATGTAGACAGTTTGATATAATAGTTATATGTAGGTATGCAAATGTTTATTCTCTATTCATATATATAAACCTTTTTCTTTCAGATTTTCAATGTGCCAACTTCATAACAAGCTAATGTTTCTCATGGACAATCTACAGCATTATTTACAAGCTGATGTACTTGAAACTAACTTCTCAAGACTAATGGAAGCTGTCAATAAGACAAATGATTTTGAGAAACTCAAGAAGGCACATGCTACTTTCCTAGCGGATATATTAAGTCAATCATTCTTGACAGTTACCTCGGTAAGGTTGCAAATAGATTAAATCTTAGAGAATTTAAGAAAATAAGTTACAAATAATGTTTAAATACTTAAGTAGTCAGTGGTGGCCTAGTGGTTAAAAGGCCCGTCTCTTTTGCACGACGAGGGCACGGGTTCGATCCTGGCCCTGGCAAGTACCAATGTGATTTTTCCCAGTCATATGTACTTTCTAAGAATATTTAGACATCACTAATTAATGAATTCCTAAAGAGGGTTGATGTTATTGCTGGGCTTAGAATGTTAAGGATAAAGCAGATACTAACTAGTTCAGGATTTATTTCCGAGAGAGTACAATAAGACACACTGATTTACATATGCAATGATTCGACTTTTATACATGATTTATATCAAAGAATATGAGATACACAGATGTGACACATTTTAGACAAAGAATATGTAACTTACTAACTGATTACTTATATTGTACTTATGTGCGTATACGGCACAATGGCAGGCAGCCGTATACGGCACAATAGCAGGCAGCCGGTCGTAAAAACAATTATTAGCCAAAATTATTCACAACATGTAAGGCAGACCCTGGCTAAAGCTGGGAAATTGCCAGGAAGAAGTAGAATGTTTAAATACGTGTGACTACGTCCGTTTTGTCATTTGCCTGTATATTTTTCTGATGTGTAAGCTACATTATTGGAAGATTTCATTAAAATCGGTTCAGTATATTATATTTATAATAACAACAGACATCTATAGAGCCTCAAAAATTTCGCATTTTTAATATTAGTAGGATTTGAAAAGACTATCACGTGTACTAAATATCAGAGATTTAACATAAGAATATGAGCATTTTTCGTATTTGTGACGTCTCAAACATTTAGTATATTTGTATAAAATGCTTGTTTTTTTTTCAGTGCAATGACAGTGATTCTGGTGACACATTGGACTCTATAAACAACCCGGTGTTTTGTAACATTATGGAGTTACTCAAGTTGTGTGATTCATTTTGCAGTATAAGCGACTTTGCTGAAAATAAAGAAGCCGAGGACTATTATATAAGGGGATATTCAGACAAGTAGGTTTATTGCATATTTAAAAAAAAAGTTTATAAATACATTCTATGATTGTTAACACTTAACAGTTACTAGATTGTTTCGAAATATCAATATGAACTAGTTCCAGATATATAAAAAAAACTTTTTCAAAAGCCTCACATCATTAAATAAGTCTTTTGTGTAATGAGATCTAAGATTTACTACGCGATTTATCGAATCACGGTTGCTGAAAAGTAGCCGCACCGTCGGGAGTATGTAGTTTATAGTCAAAAATAAAAAACCGCGTAGCAAATCCGAAAATATTAGTTTCATTTAAGTCTTTTGTGTAACTTAAATATGTACGTATGTCCAAGTTAACTGTAGTGTAAGCCTTAGTATTTCTTGTGATACATATTATCTTTCAGATTCAACAAGCTCGTGAAACAGCTTATGCAGCTTTTAGTGTCTCTCCGTGATCGTCCTTGCGGAGTATATCTCGCCAGATTACTGATGCGATTAGATTACAATAGATGGCTTAGCGGAGAAGCTCAACTTACACAATCTGTCACTAATATGCTTAGATATTAATTACTCCATATAAAATTATCTAAAGCTACTGAAGACTTAAGATCTGATCACAAATCTACATATACAGTGAGATGTTCTTGTTATTTTATGTCTGTATTAAATGTTAATAAATACTCAAAAACATAGTTACTTTTACATATAAATACCTATAAAAAAATGTCTGAAATAAAAGCACCGTGGACTTAACAGTATAATTTATATACAACAAATAATTCTGATGATTTTTTCATTCGTCATCAATTTTCTCATCTTCTAAGACATTTGAATTTTCTTTGTTATTTTGATTCATTTGGTTTTCCTGTTGGAGCATCACAGTCTTGATCAGAATACATTTTGTCATATGACAGGAACATGGTAGAGGGTGGTCTACTTCTTCAGGGTCGAGCATTGTGAATTCAAGATTATACCTTAAAGAAATAGGACTATAAGAATATCTAAATAATAATGCCACTATAATAACAATCTAGCTACAAGAAAACTTGTTTCGAGTTTATAATCTGCAATAAATATGAAGTTATATATTAAGTTAAAAGTTAAAATATGAATTGAAATAATTGAATTGTGATCTACAAATGAATTAATAACAATTATGTTATATTTTATTTAGTTTACATTTATAATAAAAACATTTAGAGACAATATTTAATTCTTTAAATTGCAATAACATGTATTGCAATTTCACAAGTCAAACAAGTTTGATTTTAAGGCTTACCTTCTAGAATTAGACAAATCTCTTTTCATATCTAACTGGAACGCTATAGGCTCTTGTTCTTCAACCTCTATCTGTTCAGGTAATAATATGACTGTTTGTTTCCAATGAGTTGAAGCACTGTTTGGACCGGTCTTCAACACAACCTGTTCATCACTGGATATTTGAGGGAAGTAACACTCAAACCACAGACAGATACCTTGATATTTAGCTGATTTTGTCGCCGCTGTAATAAAAGAAAAGCATTTTTAACAATAAGACAATGAAACTAGTATACTTATATAATAGATTATATTTAAGTATTCTATACGTCAACTTTTAGTGTTTAGACATCACTGATTAATGCATTCCCAAAGAGGGTTGATGTCAAACAGGCGGCCAGAAGTAAAACAATTAGCCAAAACTATTCACAACATGTAAGACAGACCATGGCTAAAGTTGGGAAATTTCCAGGAAGAAGATATTCTATACTTGAACAAAAATAACATACATATATATATTGTTACTTTTTCAAGGCTTTCATGATGAGAGATTTTTTGTAATGCATAAGAAATGTACCTGCAACATGTGTAATGCTAAAACAATCTAGATAATTGACTGTATCTTCCTTCAAATTAATCCATGCCATGGGTACTTCATTACCGATCAGGTCTTGATTATTTATCACCATAATTTCTGGCTTACTGCTTTTGTTCACACGAAGTTGCTTTGCAAATGTTGTTAGTGATACACCATGGAAGTTTGTCCATTTATTATATAATTCGGGAACACTGAAAATAAATTTGAATATAGTTATAATAATTCTTTTGAATTGTCATATTTGGTTTAGATTTATTCAAAACATGTATATACAATTATATTAGGAAATTCCTGTTTAATTGTTTTATGTTTATGCATTATCTTACCTACATGGTGCAACATATATTCCAGCACTTTCCGGAAACATTTCACCATCCTCTTTGAGAAACTTGTCCCTCGCAATTAATACGGAGTCCAACATACCCTCGTGTAGCAAATAGAATCCCATCCATTCAGAGATAATAGCATCAACTTTTAATTCGTCTGGCAGAATAACATCCTCCACTTTACTGTGTATTACCTTAAAAAATATTCTTTGTAATATTATACAATAAGTAAACATTTTTACAGCAGAGTCATTTAGTACTACAATTTAAATAATAGTTTGAAGAAAATTAGAGTGAAAAGCGGTGATTACTTCAATAACATTATCAAAATTATTTTCTTTCACAATATCCTTTGCTAAATTAGCTAAATCGCTAGCTTCCACAGCGTAAACTTTCTTTGCACCTGCTTGGGCACAAAATATTGAAAGGATACCGGTTCCACAACCAACGTCCATTACGATTTTGTCTTTGAAAAATGATTTATTGGACATAATGGCCTGGCGATAAGCATCTGTGCGTGGATTGTCTTCTAACATCAATCTATGGACCTAAAAAATAATCTTTTTTAATATAGTTAAATTGTCTAAAAGACTTGCTACATCAAGCCGTTCTGTAACTTAATTCAAAGTCATACCTCTAGATCTTCATAACTAGAAAAATATTCATTGGGTGGAATATCTATATCCATGTCTAATAAGGGTTTGGTGAATAAATATTCTAAATAAGAGGATTTTTGAAGGAATAATAGGTGTAAGTGAAAACTCGTTGCAAACTAATTCTAACCTACTAAAATCGAAAAGATGTAAACAATAGCACGTTGACTGTTGACATTTATTTGTTGACAATTCCAATTATAAGGGCGAAATAGACTTTCGAGTATATTGTAGCTGTGTCTAACTTAAAAATCGTATGTGTGTAGATGGCTTTATGAATAAATTCTTCACAGATTATAAATGTCTCGTTACGCCTATAACGATAATCGTTTTGGTAAATCGACGTGTAGTATTCGATACTGTCCTAACAAGTAACAACTGCAACTTCAGATCTAAGAATGTGAGGTGTGAAGTGTGCACTGTGTTAACCGAGTAAAACTTTTGTATTTTGCTGTTCATGCACGCTAAAAATATTTATATGTGTATTCTATTATGTTTAATGTTCCTTTAAAAGACAATAGTAGTGTTAAAGTTAAATATGGCTAAAGAAGGAGACATGTCGCTGTTTAACGATGTGTTGGAACCATTTAGGCGGGTTATAAACACCGACTTGCCAAAGGATAAGTTGTCGGCGTCTGCTAAATTAAATTTTTCTGATAGTAATCAATCTATCAAAGAAGGTAAACTTGTTGATTAATTAAAACTGCTTAAACTTAGATTTTTTGATAAATTTAACTATTTATACCATACATAGGTTCTACAACTTTATTTTCGTCGATCAAGAGGAAATCTGGCTTAGAATCTCCAACTCCTGAAAAACGAATACGTACAGAGTCAGGATCGAACTCTAACGGTCCACCTCCATCACCATGGGAAGCTAAAAGACTGAAAATTGATTTGATAGCCGCCAAAGCACAGGTTGGATTAAAATTTGCATTGTTACTATATCACTTCAAATATATATTTTAAATTCATACATTCATAAAAAATACTTAATAAACATTTCTACCATATCCCCACTGAATATTTCCAATAAAATTACCATCATAACCAAAATATAATTTTAGATAACCAAGCTTGAAGCTCGCGTTAATCATCAGCATACAATACGTAAGGAAATGCAAATACTCTTTGAAGAGGAGAAAGCGTCTTTGATAGAACAACACAAACACGATGAAAGGGCTCTCTCCGATATGGAAGATCGTCTCAAGTTAATAAGACGCCGGGAACTCGAAATTAAAGAAGAATATAACACGGTAAATCATCTATCAAAAAAGTATTCTACTAATTAAATGTTAGTGTATTAAATATTCTAATTTATAGGCAATCAAAGAACACAAAGAGGCTAAGTTGAAATGGGAAAAAGATAGGAGTGATCTTCAAAAGCAGATAGCCGAGTTAAAAGACAAGCTGTTAGAATCTGATGTGAGCAGTAAGGATCAGTTGTCGGAGATGAAGAGAGATATGGATGAGTTATTACAAGTATGTGGCTGAATATATATGGATAAAATTAATATTTACACTAGAATATACAGGGTGACTGGTGAATTACTATCAATATTTAAGGAGCATACTCAGTACATAATTCTCATTCGAATTATGTAAAAAAAATAGGTACTTAATTTTTGACCAAATTTCCGTATAAATAAATAAAGTGTGTACACGTTCCAAGTGTTCCAAGTGTGAACGCGCGCGGCGGCGTGCTGATACAACAAGACGCCGCCGCGCGCGTGTGTGTGTGTGTGTGTGTATACCTAATCTGTAGGGTGTTCATACGATGCGTAATTAATTACATAACTTTTAGTTAACTTTACTTAGAAGTTTATTAATATTTATGTTATATTAATTTTTATTTTGTCATATATGATTGTCAAATATCACATCCTCAAATATCGATAGTAATTCACCAGTCACCCTGTATAGTAAATACATAAATCTTAGTAAATGTACATAATGATCTAATATTTCTCATTATTATTTAAAGCATTTATTATTTATTATTTTTACATCTAAAAAGGTGTTATATACTCATTTAATTGGATATCTATGGTTGCTTCTATTTTTTATTTCATTTCTTTTTAAATATTTTTTTGTTGATTTCCCTACATGTTATAAATAAATTTCTATGATTGTTTCTGAGCTATACATATTAAGTTAGCCTGGAAGAGACATAAAAATTGTAAATTTGAAATATTAGCACATTTCACTAGAATCTGGAATAACAACTTTAATTGTATATAAAGTTGTCTTTTTTTATTAACAAATATATGAATACATACTTGCTTCCAGATATTTTCAGTTTACAACTAAATAGATTTGTTAAATTTCTTTGTTCATGTAAATAGTGTCTTAATACCATTAATGATTTTTTCAAAACTATATTTAATAAGTTACTTAATTTTCAAATATCATATCTGAAAATGCTAACATTTATATTATTTTGCAAAAATTTTCATGAATGTTTTACATGTTGTTTATTGTTAAATTATTGTTTGCCAACTTTAGTAAATGAGCTATGTTACTGTAATTTTTAATTGTGCCAATTAACTTACAGTTTTTAATGTTCAGTTCGAATTCATTGCAATATATTAATTGCTTTGGTTAAGGTTCAATGTACTACTGAAATATTTTTTTAACCGGGTCCATAAAGCCCTGTTAAGAGTAGTTTGTTCTATTCAACAATGAAAACTGGCATCTTCTAATATTTATTTAGCTTATAAAATATAACTTTTAATTAATTTCATCCAGGCTTTAGAAGGAGCACAACAAGAGGTTCAAATTCTAAAGAAGGAAGTATCAAAACAAACGTCCAGGGCCGAACAATGTTCAACTCTCCGCTCACAGTTAGAGAAACAAACATTTGAATTGCAACAAATTACTAACAAATTGAAAGAACTCGAGTATGAAAAAGATTCATATAAGGATTGGCAACAACAAGTTAAGGTACTTTAATTAGCTGAAATACTAAGTGGATATTGGTTTAAATGTAATTTTACCATCAGAAAATGCCTGATTGCAGGATATGTATAAGATCCAATGTAGCATTTTAGCCATTTTTATTTTTTTGCTTTAAACACTTCATAATACTGTATTCTATAACATTCATAAAAAAAATATATGTTTTTGTTCGTTTGAAAGACATAGTTTTTATTGCATTGAAAAAAAGCAGCAGTAACACACTTTTTAATGTGTATATAATGTATATTATAAAAGAATATATATTTAAAAACCGGTAAGTTTATCAAGCTTAAATGTCGTACATGTATGTCATATTTGCTATGCAAAGTTTCAAAAGCATCAGTTTTTGCATGTAAAAGATACATTGAAATCAAACTTAAAATGCCTTTTTGCACATTAGCCCTTATATACGAGGTGTGTTCAAAAAGTATCGCAAATTTTGTGTTTTTTCAAAAATTATTTATTTATTCATGAATATCTATTTTGTCCCCTTCAAAGTAATCACTGTGAGATATTATACACTTGTGCCAACGATTTTCCAATCTTCGAAGCACTTCAAAAAATGATTTTTTTATCTTGTTCAGCTCCTCCTTCGATGCCGTTTTTATCTCGTCAATCGTAGGGTAACGTAGTCCTTTCATGGGCCTCTTCAGTTTAGGGAACAAGAAAAAGTCACAGGGGGCCAGATCTGGGGAATACGGTGGCTGCTGCATCATTAGTGTGCTGTTTTTCGCCAAAAAGTCGCGCTCAAGCAGCGATGTGTAAGCAGGGGCGTTATCGTGGTGCAAAAGCCAATTTTTGTTCTTTCACAAATCCGGGCGTTTCTGGCGGATTACTTCGCGCAAATTGCGCGTAACTTGCAGGTAATATTCCTTATTGACCGTTCTACCCTGTGGCAAGAACTCATGATGCACCACGCCCTTGCAATCGAAGAAAACTTTCACATTCGACCGAACTTGGCGCGCTTTTTCGGTCTTGGTTCGTGCGGCAGCTTCCATTGGAATGATTGATGGTTTCCACGTCATAACCATAAACCCTCGATTCGTCACCAGTTATGACACTGCAGCAAATTGGGTCGTCGGGGACAGAGTCCTCATCTCTTCAGCAATGTTCATGCGCTGCTGTTTTTTGGTCGCAATTGAGCAATTCTGGTACGAATTTCGCGGCGACTCGTCTCATGCCCAAATCATTGATAAATATCAAATGGCACGAACTAATCGATATGTTTAGGTCCTCAGCAACTTCTCTAACGGAGATTAGACGATTGGCCAATATCATTTTCTCCACTTCATTAATTTTTTCGTCTGTTGTTGAAGTACTCGGGCGTCCGGCACGCTCTTCGTCGTTCACACGTCTTCTCGGCCTTCTGAAAACATTTTGTATCACCGATAAACGTTGTTTCGGTCCAAGGTAGCTTCTTCGTATGCCACAGTCAAAATTCGGAATGCATCCGCGCACTTAATTTCGTTTTTCACACAAAATTCGATACAGGTTCTTTGATCCATGGTAAAAATCGAAGACGATTCAAAACACGTGCCAGCAAAGCAGCTGTCAACAATTAAGTGAATATTCAAAATGGTCGAGCTGGTCGGCATACGTGACAGACATGAGTACAAACATAACGCCACAAAAGAATCGAATTTCGATACGTAACCCGCGAAGAATTCAAAATTCGCGATACTTTTTGAACACACCTCGTATATAGGAGCCATCGATAAATGTATATGTATAATTTATTGTAATAATATAAAATCTTATATGTTATATTACCATGTTTTCAGACGGCCCAAAAACGTCTTACAAATATGGCAGAGTTAGAAAAAGAAGTAGGAAGATTACGAGCAACTGAACGATCACTCCGAGACTCAGTGAGTAATAAGTTACTGCTTGAAGAACAAGTCCATATACTGACAACGAAAGTGGAGGCGTTACAACCAGTTCAGCAGGAGTTACATGACGCTAAGGTATTGTATTCAAATATGGAACACTTAAATATATTTTTTTAAAAAAATCAAATATGGAACACAAATTAAAAAAAATTATTTTCAAATATAGAAAATTTAAATAAAATAAAATGATTTGTTAAATGTGGAACACATAAATTAAAATTTATTTTTCAAATATGGAACACTTAAATAAAAAAAAAAGAGTGCCTCATGTTATAGTGTAAATTTTGATTACAGAAAAATTTATAAAGTATTAAAATTTGTGTAGTATTCAATAAAACTATATTAAAGGAGATCATTCAGGTCTCATACATTTTTGGGCCTTTTTCTGAAAGTGCCAGCCAACAAAAAAAAAAGGTACATATTTGTAGAACTAACCATTTGGAACAATAGTTAATATGGCGCAAAAGTTGTAGGATCCAAGATATAGAAGTTATACAAGTTCTATGATTCATCATTTTCGTACATTTATTGGTCTCTGAAAGTGCCAGGAAACATAAAATAGTGATTGATATTGCTAGAGTTAAGCTTCTCAAGTAAATCATTAAAGCGAAAAAGCCATAATCTGTTCTTTGTACATATTAGAAACCTGTTAGTAATTTTGTTCAATATTGTCTACAAGCTACAATTAATGTTATAGATTATTTCGAAACTTCAATATTGAAGGTTTATATTGACTGTCTCATATGGAAGTGGATTCAAAGATGATAAAAAAAAGTTTTTGATTTATTCTTAAAAAAATTATAATTTATTTATTAAGTAATTCATAAATCACAATCAGACCAATCAATTAGTCTTTGTTTACTCGACTAAGCCGAAACTAGAGTAATAAATAAAATGAACAAACACCAATTTCTTAATAAATAATTAAATGTTGGTCAATTAAATGCACAGTTTAGAAAATATTAGAAAATCCCTACTAATATTATAAATGCGAAAGTAACTCTGTCTGTCTGTCTGTCTGTCTGTCTGTCTGTCTGTCTGCTACGCTTTCACGCCTAAACCACTGAACTGATTTTAATGAAATTCGGTACAGAGATAGAGTTGACCTTGAGAAAGAACATAGGATAGTTTTTATCCCAGACTTTTGAAAGGTTCTCTTGGAAACGCGATATAACCGAACTCCACGCGGCGAAGCTGCGGGCGGAAAGCTAGTTCAAAATAAATGTAACAATAACAATAGTTATAAATAATCAAGTAATGACTGTTTTGCCAACAACAAGTTATAAGAATAATATTCTATGTATTTTACTTTCTTTCTTCGTCTTTCGTAACAGTTCGTTCAATCCCGACGGTTGCTCGGATCTTCGGCGAAACCTTCGGCTTCGACCCAAAACCCGGCCGAAGCCGAAGGTTTCGTCGAAGATGGTTTTTTTGGCCGAAGGTGGCCGAACCGAAACCGAAGCTTCGGTCGGACACTACAAATAACTTTCTTTTTATGTATAAATAAAGAATATTAAGCCATTTACATTGACAGACAAACCATTTGAAATGTAAGCTTAATCAATACAAATGTTACTTTAATTTTAACATAAACCAAAATTACTACTTGATTTTAATACCTGAACATATAAAATATGTATCAATTTCTTCCAAATTAATATGATTATATATGCACAGGTTAAAATAGCATCATTGGAGTCTACTCTTGAAGAATGGAAGAACGTAGCTCGTACACATGGTATAGAGAACGCTCGGTCTCTATCATCAGCCCTTGACTCGGCACTCAGTAGTCAACTGACTGCTGTGGCTGGCTGTTCACAAGCACAATCACAATCTGCTCAGCTCACTGAGGTATTTGATACAAATTATGTTTTATATATATACTAGCTGCGCCCCGCGGTGTTACCCGCGACATCCGGAATGTAAAGTACCCTATGTGTTATTCCAGGACGTCAGCTTCCTGTATACAAAATTTTATCGAAATCGATTCAGCCGTTTGAGCGTGAAGAAGTAACAAACATACACACACACTCACAAACTTTCGCAATTATGATATTAGTAGGATTAAGATCTGTATACATAAAAGAAAGTCGTGTCAGTTACACTATTCATAACTCAAATGGCTGTACGGATTTGGCTGAAAATTAGTGGATAGTATAGATCAAGAGAAATGTCATATGATACTTTTTATGCAATTGAAAAAGAAAAAAAACATAAGTTGGTCAAATTCCAAATCTTCTTATCTACTGTCTTTAAGTAGGAAAAGAATTTGTACAGTCAGCTATACATTTCTAATTCTGAAACTAACGCAGATGATGTCGCGGGCAAAAACTAGTGTGTATATATAGGAATATTAATACATTATCTGTTTTCTCATCTATACTAATATTATAAAGCTGAAGAGTTTGTTTGTTTGTTTGAAAGCGCTAATCTCCGAAACTACAGGTTAGAATTGAATAATTCTTTTTGTGTTGGATAGTCCAGTTATCGAGGAAGGCTGTGAGCTATATAACATCACGCTACGACCAATAGGAGCAAAGATATAGTGGTAAATGTGTAAAAAACGGGAGAAATTATTTCATCTTTGAAGCCTTCCGTTGCGTGCGCCGTGAAAACGGTTCAAGATACACAAAAAATATGTAGTAAAGAATAATAGCTCTCTTAATGATCTAAAAAACAGTCCGCGACAGTATATGTCTATCTTTTAAGATTAACTCACAAAAACCGTTTTTATGGTACCTAATTTAGTCGAAATAATTTGTTTAAGTTGTATCAAAATAATAATATTAATCTTTATTCATATAAACAAATAAATATGTTGTTGGTTAAGAGTACTTCATTGTGAATAAAAAAAACAGGTTTCATCCTGAAAATTCTACGGGAACTCGACCATTCCGAAAACTATGTGGGAACTATGTGGGAAGAACCAAAAATCTGTCGGAAGTAACTATTCCACGCGGACGAAGCCGTGGCAAAAGCTAGTATTATATAAATTTATGATTTTTTTACAACTTTTGTCTACCTGTCCTTCTGCATCTCATCTCAGGAATAGATTAACCGATTTTGACTTTACATTCAATAACATATTTCTGAATTAATGAGTAATTTAAGCGGCTCAATTGCTTATATTTTTAAATATGCATTTATTTTAATTAATAAAACTTATAAAAATGGACTTAGTATTGAATATTATTATTTATTGCAGGAAATTGCTACAGTGAAGTTCGAACGCGATAAGGCGACTACAAAACTGAATGATCTGCAAACAGTCCGTAAGAACCAGGAGAGTTTGATACACCGGCTGCAGAAACGACTTCTACTGGTTACTAGAGAGAGGGACAGCTACAGGTGAATTATATTAATAACTACCTTTCCGCCCGCAGCTTCGCCCGCGTGGAGGTCGGATATATTGCGTTCCCAAGAGAACCTTTCAAAAGTCTGGGATAAAAACTATCCTATGTTCTTTCTCAAGGTCAACTCTATGTCTGTACCAAATTTCATTAAAATCAGTTCAGTGGTTTAGGCGTGAAAGCGTAACAGACAGATAGACAGACAGTTACTTTCGCATTTACAATATTAAGTAGGGATTGTACGATATACTATAATAAGAAATATATTAGATAGAGAGATAAATAATAGAATTAAATATTATTTCCTATATAATTACTTCGTGTATTAAGAGGGTATCTTGCAATGATATTTTACTTTAGCTGTTACTCCCAACTCCGTTTGCTTGAGAAAACCAAGAACAATGAAAAATCTTTTAAGCGCCGTAACCGCCCCGCCTTCCACTAGAGCATGATAAAGCTTAATTTTTGGAGCGACATAAAAAACTAGCCTAATTTACTTCTTATATCGATAAAAATCCTTTCAAAATCGATCCAGCCTTTCCAAAGATTAGTCGAAATAGAAGTAAAGAAAATATTAAGGTGCGTGTACGGTGTACCATACACATATACAACGTGTAACATAATTAACGCACACCCTGAAAGTAGTTTGATCAGAATCGGATACTGGATCGATTTTGATAGTTGTTTATGTAGGTCATTTTTTTTCTCAAATTTAGATAGAACTAAGTAAATTATAGTCACCCTACACACAGTTATCTAAACACTTCATAGAAACGAAAATTAATGGAAACGAAAATGGATCGTAAGTCAGGGTATTAAGATTTTTAAAATGATATATTTAATTAGTAATCATCATTCAATTAAAGAAAACTGATACTTATTTCAAGGCTAAAATAGTATTTAAAAATAACTACGCACGCAACACCATAGCGACAACCGGCACACAGCAAGGTCACTACAGTGCATAAAAGAAAGCCGCGTAATACAAAAATTATTACTTTCTCCTTCTTTCTTTGGCTTAATAACATTACAATAGAGCGAGCCGGCAGACTAATTCCGAGAATCAGAGTAATAATAACTAAACATCGAAGTCAACAAAATGTGTTTTGGGTTAGTTACGCCGCGTCCACCTTATCGAAAAGAGGTCAAGTGTAAAGTGCAAATAAAATCTTAGTCGCGCATTTCGCTGTGTCGTTTCGGTACACTAACATTCAATACATCAAGTACCTACGCACGTGTCCATTGACCTCCTAGATCAGCTGATTTGACGCGACTCGACTTTTTTTTGTGGGGGCGAATTAAATCGCTAGTTTATAACACAGAAATAACAAGTGCCGAGGAACTAAAAAATAAGATAATAACCGCCTTTGTAAAAGTGAAAAGTGACATTGCAGTATAATCTAAAATAAAACCACAATTGCGAAAACGGTCATTAAAGTGCATTGAACAAGGCGGTGGACATTTTGAAAATGTTTTAAAACGACAACGCTGTGCGAGTGCAAATTAAACTGTAAGTTTGTTTATGATCTTTAAATTATTGTAAATATTTTCATACACACCATTTAAACAGGCCGACTGTGTTTAACTTTGTCGTAGGTATTGTGGTGTCTATTCAAATCACGCGTTATCAGCTGTTTAATAATTCTTATTTACAAATTTAATTTAACAAATCAGTAATTATAAAATATTGGCTTCACATTAAAAAGAAAATTCAATGTCAACAATCTAAGGCTTGAAAAGTGTGATGGAAAGAAGAATCATAAATCATAATGTAGTTATTTCGTGTACTTATTATTACCTACTTCTTATTATTGTCGGACGGCACTCGGAGAGAGGGGCGCGGGCGCGGCGAGTACAGAGTGTCGCTGAATAGCGGACCATATTATTTGCACGAAATTGGGATAACTAATTTCACAAATAAAAAATTCAAACGCACATATAAATAATATTTGGTGTATGCATTGCGTTTATATTATTATATTCGCATTGGGGTATTTGAGGGTGTGCGTTAATTACGTTACACGTTGTATATTCATAAGTATGTAATAAAAAAAAAGTTATTACAATATTTCAAACAGACACTCATTTATATTTATATGTATAGAATATTGATTAGAATAATAACTATTATATAAAATTACAGACAACAGCTGGACTGTTACGAAAAGGAACTAACGGTGTCCATAAGCGGAGCGGGCGAGGCAGCGGGCGGGGCCGCACTGCTAGCGGCGAGGGTTGAACAGTTGGAGAAGGCGCTACAATCATACCGCGACCTGCTCGCCTTACACGACCACGAACCAAATACTAAAGGTACAACCCTACATATCGTTGGGCCTAGAGCACATACGCGTAACTACATAAGAAGCAAATTATCACAAAAAAGTTTGAGCTGAATAAATTAAACACTAAATAATTACAAATTGTCAAAAAATTACCTTATAAGCCGAATTATTCAATTGTAGTTACGCGGATTTGCACTATGCACGACGTATGTATTTAAATTACTTGATTTTTCTTACTAAAAAATCGGCTTAATTTTTTTGTTTGCTATAGTCCATTTGCTTGATGATTGTTTGTGTGCGATCCATTTCATCTTGTGTGTAAACCTGGTATATAGCAGTATACCTGGTATATAGCAGTAACTAAAGTCCAACTATAGACAATTTCAAGATTTTTTGCTTCACAAGCAGTAATTATTTTTTTAGCTCTGGAATTGGCTCGCATAAAATATGGTTATAGTCCAATTATAGATACTAACTACAATATGATAATGTTTTTGTTTAATAAGCGGTAATTATTTTTTATTAGCCCTGGAATTGGCTCGAGCTGAAGCATCTAAGTACCGCGAAGAAGCGGAGGCTGCGAAGCGTGAAGTAGCCAAGCTTAGAGCTCAAAGAGACCAACTGCAGATGCATTTTGAGAAACTTGCTGCGCCTACAAAAGTTAGTAGTTTATAATAACAAGCCTTTTTTTGTCTCTTATTCAAAATATGTACTATACAAGTTAAAGTAAAAACAAAAAGTATAAAACTATCTAGTCTTGTCCAAGAAAAAAAGATTTTAGTTATCTTATTTTTAATTTGGTTGAAAAACTAGGTCCTATATGACGAAACATAAAATAAAGTACTAACAAAGCTTAGTATCAACAATTAATGAAGCATTTTTTGAGTCTAAAATTAAAAATGTTAAACAAATTATATTGAAGCCAAAAAAATTATAAAATAATCTAATCCTGTCTAAGAGAAAAGCGGAAATTATCTATGTTATTGCTTATTGTTATATCACCTAGTTTGTATCAGGCGAAATATAAAGTATAGTAAAAGTGAAATATTTTCTTATATTTTCTAGATATTACATTTAGCTGACAACCCTGCAGCGGCCGCTCAGAAACAAATGCAACTTGAATTAGAATCGGCACAGGAAGAGGTAAATAATTTTATAACATAACATATACTCACTATATAAATTTACTTTATAAAAGCACTTTATTGATATCAGGTATACTTATAAAAGCACTTTATTGATATCAGGTTATTAAAATAAGAATAAGATTTCTATATAGGTAATATATTTCTATTAGTACGTAAACTTAACCGTTCCACATATCAGTGCTGAGTAATGCTTAGTGTTACCAGTATACAGTTTATCTTAATACTACTTTTCTAATATAACGCCTATAATAAAATTTATAATCTAATTTATATAGAATTAATAAATAATATACAATGTCAAAATTACGTTCGCTATTTATCAAGAAATAATATGCCATAAATATAATATAATAGGCAGTTGTTTAAAGAATTCTTTCATAATAATCAATGCTTTAAGTTTTAATTATATCTTAATATATGTAGGTAACTATTAAAGTAATTCTTTTAATTTATACATATTAATATTTATTTTTTTTAGATAAAGAAGCTAAAGGCTGCACTTCGTGAAGGAGGTTCTAGCGCTGGTGATGACGCGCTCCGAGCACAGCTTGAAAATAGTCGCATTAAGCTACAGAGGTATGCTTTAGTAGCTTAGTAGTAGCTAGTAGCTCTAAGAAGTATATATATCGTCTTAAAAGAAATAAACTTTAGTATAACTAGAATAAGGCTTAGTATTTATAGTTTCAATGTTTTAATTAAAAAATATCTGCTATTAAAACCATTGTTATTTTTGAGTTTAAGTCAATGAATCCAGCTTAATAAGTATGAATTATATGGGGAGGCAACCAGAGGTTCCAGGAAAACTATGAAATTTTGTTAGATGTATATTATAGTAAGAATTACATATATAATAAAACTTATATATAACGCAGTAAAAGGCGGAAAACAAAACAACTTCGTGAGGAAGTACCAGTTGAAGTGCTTACTTTTGCTGCTAGCGTCAGTCAAAATGTGTCAGGAAATGCTGCGGCTTCGAAACTCATAAAAGATGCAACATCTTCACCAACAAGAGCGGTACAGAAAAGTAATAAATACTACTCTACAACCAAAAATAAAAAAAGTACACACCTGATGAAGCTTTGCGCATTTTATCGAAGGTGTCTTTACAAGGAGACAATGGGAGTTACTGCACAAAACAACTATAGGTATATACCCTTGATATACCCTTATTAGAGAAGCAAAGAAATTGCTATCCAAAACCAGAGGCAATTCGAGTAACGGAGACTTGTGTAGAAGTTGTGCTCCAAGACTTACTGGATCACACAGATAAGAGACTTTGTCTTTATCTTGAAGATGTACTCCAAAACTGTACAACAAAAGAATTGGAAAATCTGGAGCTCATTTCAAAATGGGGTTGTGATGGCTCTCGTCACACTACTTACCAACAAAAGTTTTTAGACAGCTCTCATGATGACTCTCATATATTTCAAAGTTCATTGGTAACATTGAGATTACAGTCACATATTGGAAACAAAATGAAGACTTTATGGCAAAATCCGACACCATCATCTACTCGGTTTCGTCGGCCAATCCGGATTCGATTTCTCCACCAAACAGTAGATATTACAAAGGATGAAATAAAGTATGAAGAAGAACAAACAAAACAACTATTAAGAACTGAAATAGAAAATCATAATAGAGCCACTTTCGTGCGACATACATTACTCCCAACCATGCAAAAATTTGCAACGCAGTTACTTAGACGTCATCAACTATGAGATGTTACATATGTGGCAAAACGTCCAAAGCTTTTAATGATTTCGAAAATTTAAATGCAGAGGATCATCAAGCATTAAGATTCGGATTGTCAATTCTTCATGCGACAATCCGTTTCTTCGAAAAGGTTTCGCACATGGCTTACAAGCTTCCTCTGCAAAAATGGCAAGCCCGAACTGCAAAAGAAAAGGGTGTGGTTAAAGAAACAAAAGAAAAAAATCAAAAGAATTATAGAGAAAAGACTGGCCTTATAATAGATATGCCAAAAGCTGGTTTCGGAAATTCCAATTCAGGCAACACGTCTAGAAGATTCTTTGCCGATCCTGATCTAGCTGCTGAAATCACTGGCATAAATAAAGAATTTATAATTAAACTAAAAGTTATTTTGGAAGCAATATCATCTGGCCACAAAATAAATGTAGATAAGTTTGGCGAGTTTTGTAAAGACACTGCAAAAATGTATGTCAAACTTTACGGTTGGCAACCAATGACGCCAACTCTTCACAAAATATTAGTGCACGGCACAACTGTTATAAAACATGCCATCCTTCCCATTGGACAACTATCTGAAGAGGCCGCGGAAGCCCGTAATAAGCACTACCGCTCATACCGGCAAATTTAGAAGTTGTTTACGGAAACTTTACCCGAGCAAAAGCCAGCCTTTCATGAGAGAAACTATTGAGTTGTTCGAGCCGGAAGAACTGGATTCAGAAGTAGACCAATCAACAAGTCTTGCTAATACACTGATGAATCAGACTAAGATTTATTAGAATACAATAATGTTGTAGTTTATTATTATTATTATTAGTTTAGTCATTTTTGAAAAAAAATATATGTTTTCTTTGATCAACTACGTATTTTTATTCATTTCCAGTAAAATAAAAGTACTAAATAATTTTGACTGACTTCGCGATGTTAGAATAGCAATGACATTCCATAGATTATGTGGTATCAGGAATCTTCTGGTTCACACGGCTTGGTGTTCGTTCCGCGGAGTCAACAGCGTCACTCTTTATATGATATTTTAACCATACAACGATATTGCCCCGCCGATGTTCATTTATTTTTAATATGTCAAAACATCTACAAACAGCAATAGTAGCTGACATAAGTTCTAAATATTATTTAATGAATATACAAGGAAGAAATTTAATATAAATTTAATATAAATGTACGATACAATTATACTAATCCAGAATTTTTATTATCTTTACTTTGCCCTTTTATAGGATGAAAGAGGAATTTACATCTTCAGCCCAAGAGTATCGTGATGTGTGCTATATGCTGCTAGGATACAAAATAGATAGAACTGGACATAAGAACTATAGGTGAGTTAATAGAGGTCTATATAAATGGTTGTAAATAATTATTTATAACACAAATTTAAATAAATATCTTCATACTAAATTGAGTTTAATATTTTAAAATGATGATTCTACAAATTATAATGTTGTATGGAGTCCTGATTTATGTAATTAATTTATTTGTGTATATATAAAGATATTGTCAGTAGTTTTGTTTGATTTGTCACTCAATCAGTACTTAAGTCAAAAATATAGAACAAATTATATTAAGAAAAACATTCTTCTTAACTAAGTATGAAATCAAAGAATTTAGCAAATATAAACCACAATATTTATCATGTTACAGGATATCAAACATGTACGCTGAATCTTCAGACGAGTATCTGACATTCACACTATCGGATGACGGCATTGAAATGGTGCATACGGACTATTCAACAACATTGGGAGACTTGGTTGAGTTGCATTTACATCAGAACAGATCGATCCCAGTGTTTCTAAGTGCTCTAACAATGGAACTATTCACACGGATAACTATGCAGCAAACACAATGCTAGACCAAGAATTTGTCGAGACATTAGTGTTCAAACATCAGGACTATAGATAATTGTATAATATTATATATCAGTGTTACTTTACATAATCATTGTAAAGTTTTTGGTGTGGGTTAAATTGTATAATATAGATAAATGTATGTATAATTGAAACTATCAATATCATTATTAGAAACTGATTTTGTCTTATCTAAAATGTGTTGTGAATTTTTTTTTGCATCAATGTATGTCATATCAATGTTTCAATATATTTATCTCATTTGTATATAATACATATATTAAATGCTCACAATTTTTTAACTTAAAATTGCTGGCCAAATATTTTACATGTGCTAAAAATAATTGCATTATTATAGAAAAACAGGAATGTTTGTGTCCATAGTAATAAATAGTAGAATGAAATATTGTCATATATATAAAATGAATACATTTTTTCCACAATTCTAAACATATTTCAAATATTTGGCAAAATTTTTATTGTGATATATGATGAAATATTTTCAGAATTCTAATTTTATTGCAGTTTACTAACTAAATTTTCTTTTGAGTCTGCCTTGGTTTGTTTTCCCGAAATGTATTTATTTGTTATAAAAATTTAAAGAATAACATTTATATTTTGTCTCACTTTAATTTCCTTACTTAAGTTTTAGTTATAATTTATTGATATAAATACTTAGTGTTAAAACAAATAGTCAAATAAGACAGTTAGTGTATAGAATTTTCATAATGATCATTAAATTCATTCCATAATATACATTACTCATTATTCTGATGTCATTTATTTTTGTAAATTAAATAATTTTCAATGAAAATAAGTTTATCTACTAAGATATTTCCTATATGTAGGTATAAATATTCATTATTTGTATGTCAGATAATATTGATGGTTAAGTGATACGAATAAAGTTTCAAAAGACATTTTATTATTATTTAATTATTAAATGATTTTTCCTTTTCATTTTCAGACGGAATTAATTAAAATGCCAGATAAGTTATTATTATTATATTTGAAATGAGATTAAAAAATTGAGGACTCAGATATTCAAACAATTTTTTTGAAACAACTTATTGATTGAAGGTACAGATGTATGTATCTTATATTTAAAATTCTCGTGTTGCTGTGTTAGGGGCCGTTCAAGTAAGCAGATTTATTACAATTATTTACCCCCCATCCCCCTTGTCAGCAAAAATAAGCAAAGCTTTTACCCCCATGCTTACGTAAACATTTTCAATTACTGTATTTTTTTTCATACAAGTCCAGAAAAAAATTATAATTGTATTTTTTTATGGATCCTCTCGATGTGACGATTAAAAGGTAAATAACTACCGATGACGTAATCAATACCTAGACTCCCCTACCCCCCGTCATCCAAAATAATCAAACCAAAGACGCCCCCGCCCCTTCATAGTGCTTACGTAATACTTGAACGGCCCCTTAGATAGAGGAAATCCTCCGAAACGGTTTGAGCGATTTTGATGAAATTTTGTGAGCATATTGAGTAGGTCTGAGAATCGGTCAACATCTATTTTTCATACCCCTTAGTCATAAGGGTCGTTCACTCTTAATTTTTTTTATTTTATTTTCGGACGAAGTTTTGTCTTTTTATTTTTTTATTATGTAGGATTAAAAAATACATGCAACCCAAAATTTTTATTTTTTTATCACCAAAACCTATTTTTTTATATGCCAAAACAACGTTTGCCAGGTCAGCTAGTATATACATATATGTGGATGAATTTCATTTTTGGGTGATGAGGTTGAATAAAAAACAAATCAATGTAAAATATTTATGAAGAAACAAGTACAATATATTATACATCATCTCTAATGATTGAAGTTACTACAACAATACATAGCATATCTAACAGTTCAAAAGTATGCTTACAATAGATAAAGAATTAAAAGAGTTTTTGACTGTGTTATTTTTTTTTGAATTTCCTGCATGCAATTGTTAGTAATTTGAATATTTTTTGTGTGATGAAATTTAATTATAAAAAAAGACTAAAAATATATTTTATGACAAGACAATCTATAAATATTAATAAGCAACTATAAAATATACAGTTTAAAAAAATAAAAAGTTTTAATATGATTTTTCTTAAATTAAATGATAGCTTTCTTTGTTTTTTCTCTATAATAACCACGAATTATTTAAGACCTAATAATGTATTTATTAAATTTCTTAATTCAAAATATAACCAGAAAGATCTTTTGCAGTCAATAATCCAATAACATTTTTATTGGATTCAATAAAATTAAACCATACCAGTATCTTTGGACAATGTTACATCCGATAACTGGTTTTTGAGATCTTAAAATTTTAAATTGACACTGACACTAAATAAAACTTAATTAGTAATAAGACTTATGTGGATTAATATACTACAATAATGAAACCGAATTGTAAACTATTTAAAGCTAAGCGGACGTCCAAAAACTAAATTGACAGTGACGCACATCACATAATAATTCGATGATTCTCGAAAGACATCCCTACAAAATAATTCTTGGAAACATTTTGGAAATAATTTAAAGTAACAATAAATTACTTTTATCTAAATTCTAAAGTTACCTAATTTCATTGTATAATGTTCCGAAAATTAAAAAAAATAATTCTAAATCCTTACATAGACATAATACTGAATTAAGTAAAACATTTAGTAAATTGTCTGTATTACATTTTGATGATCCTGTCATGTGACACATTTATATAAAAAAAAATAAAACAAAACAAAACACGTAAACATAAATTTCACACAATTTTCAATAACATTATTGCACTAAAAACTTTTATAACTTAATAATAAATATTGCATAAGCGTTAAAACCACATTAAGTGAAGTAAAATAACTAAAGTCTTACAGTATCTACTAAAAGTTAATAAATTTTAAAAACAAAATGTCAGTCCAATGAGTTCGTCCCGCGTCGCAGGTTTACACGAGACGGAGATAAGAATTCTCTATAGAAAAAAAAAACTACACAGTAACGTACCCAATATTGTGCTAACTACAGTTCTATTTATAACTTTTTACTAAATATTAAGTACAATTTGGTGCTCAATTTAATATTGTAAAGTGTTAATCATTAATTATTTATCTACAATAGTCGAAAAATGTGCATCTTGTTCGAGGATTCTCTAAACCTACAGTAAGTAATTGAACATTCGTAAAAACTGGCTCATTTACTCCAACAATCTTATCCCTATACTAAGTTCTTTAAACCCTTCCAATCATCAGATATGTTAAAGGAATTTAAGAGAATTCGTTTTCGTGTATTCAATATACGGATCATACTTGATGGTCCCGCGTATACAAGAAATCATGAATTAGGTTATCGGAGAGAATTTTTGTATTTCAAAATAAGTACTTCGCGAAACTTTGTTCGAGATCATTCTTTCATTCCTAATGCCTGACAAAGTTGTTTTTATTCTTGGGACTTCATTAGTCTAGTTGCAGTGTATCTGCAAATCGTAGTTGTTATGAAGTCTGTCCATCTTAATTCGCAGATGCTTGGACCCTGCTACTCCAGTCTATGTCTATATTACTCGCGAGGAGTCCACATCTTTGTGTTTCTCTTCTGTCACACTATTGTCCGTTATGTTTCTGTTTCCTGAAATACATATAGTCGACATTAATATATTAGAATAAGACGAAATAAGTCATCGTAATTATTTATGTAAATCGACTTTTTATTTTGAGGAAAAATTAAGGTAATTTTATTTTGAGGAAAACTAAACTATGATAATTATTACTAAAAATCAAAACTAATTCAGCTCAATTCAACTCAAATAAGTTTATTCAATACAGAAGCATTTTTTCTTATTGATGGTCACTTGAGACACTACCACCGGAAGAAAAGAAAATTCCCTGACTGACTGACTAATCTTTTACCTTTACAAGGTCCGGGATGTAGAGGATCGACAACAGTTCCCGCGTGACAGGCAGCTCGTTGGAGGCGGCACCACGACGAGTAGGTCCTTCGGTCCGAGCCGCAGAGAGGACGTCGGGCTCCGCCCCCGCAGGCCCCGCACGACACACAACGAGCACCCGACACGCCGCCGGACACACAGCGCTGACCCGAGCCGCAACGAACAGACGAACATGTTGCGTTCGCTGATATAACATATATACTGTTAATAAACATCTATAAGACCCTGGCTAAAGCTGGGAAATTGCCAGGAAGAAGGAGACTGTTAATAAAGATTTAATACTATCGCGAGTATTCATTTAAATGATACCAGTATTTTTGGATTACTACGCGTATTTTGTTATAAAAAACCTAATACCAAAATTTCGGTAACTTTGCAGCAACCGTGATCACGTGATCACGGGCAGACGAGATATGATCACAGTTGCCTGCAAAGTTACCGAAAAAAACGTGTAATCGATAATATTACTTTCATTTATAATAATAATGAAATTAATATAATAAAGACCCTTCATACAGTTTACAAAAATACTGATCTAGTGATGACATATCCAATTTAAATATAGAACCCTTATAATGTTTTGTGTCGGTAATAAAGTGTTATTTTAATACCAGACATGTTCTAGGCGTAATTGGACGCAGGTATTTATCACTTCAATTAAATGGCAACATTAAGATCGCGTTTTATAGAGTGATTCATTAGAAGCGGCGATATTCTTTTTTTATCTTCACATTTCCTAAACACTTGCAGTTGTCGAAGCTATGGAAAGTTAAACATGAGATATAATATTAATTAGAATATACCTATACATGATCCTTTGTAAGCGAGTGGAAGCGCTTTTCCACGTTCGCAAGCAGCGCGTCTCAAAGCGCACGCGCCAGCGTACGTCCGCCCGTCGACAGCGCAGACGGGCGTGCCGGCTACACTACACGCTCCACACCTCACACAATGCGCTCCCAGCTCGGCGTCTAGAACGCAGCGTTTATCACCTCCACAGCGAACGCCGTCACAGCTGCCGACTGTTTAATATAAATAATATGTTTAACCTAGCTCCTAGACCGGGAGCACCACAAACATTATGTAATATAATATCATTAACAGACCTCGTTATAAGTCAGTTTAATATAACCGACTGTAATGTTCTTCGTCAGTGTATCGTGTTTCGGTATGTAGTGTACCGATAGTCTGTGTTGTCTAGACAGCTATCAAGTGCAGCCACTTTAGTGTTTTGGTTATATAAAATTTATCACATTTAGAATCAGGCCAAGAGTGTTTTATTATAACATTCATAGACGTCTTAATGTTTCACGCAGACCGTTCGTCAAATGTTTCTATATTGTTATGACAAAACCGATATATTTAGTTAAACTTATTTTTGTAATTCCTTAATGCGACAATAAAAGGAAGATTTCTAAATAAATAATCATACTAAACGACAAAATGTAAGAAAACAAACGTGTTGCCAAATTATTATGTTATCTATAATAAAGACAACGTTACATTCAACAAGGTATTTTAGTCCGTGTACAAGAATGTGTTGCGCTTGCGGCGAGCCTATCCGCTCGTAAAATACTATGAAGTGGTCGCATAGCCAAAGTCCACATTATTCGGGCTATGGTATTTTGATGTTTATATTTTCGAAATAAATTTCTCAGAAATCATGTCATTTTGGTAGTACAAATAAATATTTTTTTGTCAATGATACTCTCGAAAGATTCGACGTATAATTTTTTTTAATCTGATTAAATATTAAAAAGCCAAGAAGGATATTGAAATATGAATATATCTTTAGAGTCCATTACATTGACGTTATCGTGAAGGATTATTATTCATAATGTGGAATGAGGACGACCGTCTGACTTGGCGTAGGGCAATTCGCAATTATGGCACTTATAGATTGTCTCCGAAGGAAAGTAATGGATCAATCTAAGAAACAATGCGGATACCCGCGTTGGAACTGTTACTAGGGGAAAATGATTTATATGGTAACATCAATCACATTTTTTGTTCGACAATACCTCAAAACAATGTCAAGTACGTCACAATACTCGGTGTGGCTACGTGTAAAACTTTTAATTCATCGCATAGAACGCTAAATAAATACAAGTTTCCTTTTCATAGAATGAAATTTTCAAGAACGCTTTTTGTCCGGAGGCCTGCGGGCGCATTAACAAACTGTGAGAGTTTCTTTTTTTTGCATCTATTGAATCACACTACCTGTGTGCGTAACGAAGGAAGCGGTCGCCTCCGACGCTGCCGGTTCTCATAATTGCACCTATTCTACACTCAGATGACATCCTGCACTACGCCGTCGCTGTACGCTCTAACCACATGTTTTCGAATGCGTTTCCCATTAAAACTGTCAAGTAACATGTCCGTCGTAGACTGCACCTAAAATAGTTTTTATTGGAATTGGATGATGGTAATTATTGCATACTGAGAACTAACCAGGAAATACACCGAGTTTCATACGTTTCTAATGTTTGTGCCGGCACGTTAAACTGTTTTACTCGGTATTTCTAATGCTTAAAAACTATATGCAGCTGAATTGCCCATGATTAAAATAAACGCCAACCTTCACTACATTCTTATGTTATTTATCGCTGAATTGAGAATTCGTGAACGTTCGATATACTAGGTCTATGATATAAAAACTACGTGATGTATTAAATTTGATAATAATATATTATAGCCGCTACAATAAATGAGTGCATGTCTTGCAACAAGGTTTTGTTTCTTTATTCGCTTCCCACGTGCGACTTTTGTCCGTCTATCTCCCACGGTACCTTCATTCTGTTCTCATACTCACTTTGAATATTGAACCAGATTGCATCAAATTAATTTATATAGAATACACAAAACTATACGAACTTCTTTGAAATAATACAGATATATTTTTATTCTGTTTTTTTTTTTATGTCATACAGAATTTTATGTGAATTAATAAAAAAAATATCGTAATATATTATGTTAATTATAACCATACATTAATATTTATGTCTTTTATATATAGTTATCATGTTTTATGTTAATTTTAGGCATAATATTTAAAATATATTAGAATTATTTTTTATTATAGTTAATCGATAATAGTATAATGTTGATGAACTGTGAAAATGGAGTTATGAGTATTGCCAGGTAAAATTTATAAAAATAATTATTAAGAGTTGGTATTATATGTTAGAATTTAAAAAAGGGATACATAAGTCATAGAAATAAAATTTCTTTTTGACCCTAAATATTGCGTTGTTATTTGTAAAAAGGTTTGATTTTCAGAGAATAGGAGTTATGTATTTGTTTGTTAAAGTATAAGATTATATAAAAAAATATTTAGTAAGAAAAAAATATATGAAATAAGTCGCCAAAGTAAAGTTTTGAAAGCTTTGAATTATTATATCAGTGAGATCATGTAAATTGCTTTCTCCAGACAGTTGTGAACTACTGTAATTAATACTCCCAATAATACTACACTCGCTACAAGAGTCAAATGTATCACATGTTTACACGGCCGTAGATGTACGCATTCGATTGGAAGTTATCACACAAATATAAAACCTGTCTTTAATGATCACGTGCTTCTGACTTGCTGATGGAGATAACGAGCATAGCCGGGCGCCAGGACTCATTCAGATGCACGCACTCGTATCATATAGTCTATACATATCATGAATAGATATTAACTATTATTGACTTATTTAAAGCGTTTAAACATATTTATTCTTCTTCTACCTGGCAATTTCCCAGCCATAGCCAGGGTCCGCTTTACATATTGTGAAAAGTTTTTGGCTATTTGTTTTTACGACCGGCCGCCTGCCTGACATCAACCCTCTTTTGGGAATCAACATTAATCAGTGATGTCTAAATACTCTTAGAAAGTACATATGATTCGGAAAAATCACATTGGTACTTGCCCGGGCCAGGATCGAACCCGCGCCCTCGGCGACGAGAGGCGGGCCCTTTAACCACTGAGCCACCACTGACTTATTTATATATAACGTAGGTGTGGCCATTTCAGACAAGGATTAATACATTTAAACGTACGAACAGAACTATCGGTTCCTGAGACCGTAATTATAATGATAGTGTGCCTGGAGCCTAACTTTGATTGCTTGTTTCCAATAAGCCCTTTTAAAGATCATTACTAGAAAATACAAGGTTATTGGTAAATGTCAATAAAACACCCGAGGGGTATACGAAACAAATTTCCTTTAATTTATATTTTACTATAATGATACGGTGAATTTAATTCATAGTTATAAGTGGTGCTGTTATCGTCGGCTGTGTAAGTAAGCGTATTGTAAGGGATTTTACATTTAAGAAAAATAAACATTTTTAATAATAACAATGTGTTTTATCGATGTTTATAAACGAACTAACAGTCAAACTAAGGATTGTTTTAAATGATTTTTTTTATAAAAAATACAAAAACACAAAAAAAAATCTCTTTCACTACATTTAATATTACAAATTATTTTCAATATTTAAAATTATGTCTAGATTTTTTCTTTGATAGTTGTTATTGAAAAGCTATCTATTTCTGTTATATTAATAGATGCATTAGAATTTAAAAAGTTAGACGTTAAAAAATATAAAGGGTTTTTTATCGTATGCACTTGGCTATTTGAGTCAAAGTGTAATCAACTTTAGTCGCGATAAGCATGTCAGGTTAGCTGTTAAGCTTGTACGGGTCAACAAAGAAATTACAACTGTAGGACTTACACGTATTCAAATATATTTATACGAGGTTTTCGTTCATGGAGTTATTTTTACTAAATTTTTATGTGTAATCCCTACTAATATTATAAATGCGAAAGTAACTCTGTCTGTCTGTCAGTCTGTTACGCTTTGACGCCTAAACTACTGAACTGATTTTAATGAAATTTGTCACAGAGATGGACACAACACCTTGAGAAAGAACATAGGATAGTTTTCATCCCAGACTTTTGAAAGGTTCTCTTGGAAACGCCATATAACCGAACTCCACGCGGGCGAAGCTGCGGGCGGAAAGCTAGTATGTTATAATCTGTATACGATGGGTTCTTCCAATTTGGACAAAGCACACACTAATATATATTTTTTTATTATCTGTGCATGATTCTTCTGTTGTTAGGACCTCGAACAAACTCTGATTACAATGAACGAAACCAAAATAATTTGCGACGCCCGTAAATTGATTCAATTATTTAGCTTGCTTCATATTTATAGCTGGACGGATTGAATTTATTGGACGTTAAGATAAGCTACTGCTAAAGTGGGTTTCAGTGAAAGCCCTAACGACTGCTGTTTGAGGCCACGTGGACGTCTGGAAACGTCGCTGTTTGAAATGCTATTGAAAATATGTGTTTATTTATATATATTATGATTTATACAAATAAACCTTGGTTTAATCCTAATACTGTTTGCTGGGAGGTTAAATATATACAATTGTATACATACATATATGGATATTTTTCTACAAACATATTTAATGAATTTTATTTTTAGAAAACGATTTTTATTTGAACCGTTCAAATAAAACTTTCACTTCAAAAAGTAAATGGATATATTTTGAAAAAGAAGTAGTATTTATGTGACTCTGTTTAAACATTGTAATGTTTTACTATAATCTGTGTAAATTATGAGTGTTTTAGTTATACAGAGTTTCAAACGTCAGTGTAGGTAAATAAATTGTTTCATCAGAACAAAATTAACGTATTTTATACTTGTTTGTATTAGGTGTTACTTTATCGAATAGTGTACTGTTCGGTTGGTAGCGTTTACTTTTAACAAATAAATAACTCACAGCTATTGTGAGTTTCTCAACTTCCTATAAGAAGTTACTTTTGTCGAATATTTCATTCATTTCGTTAGTAGTGACAACTATTACCAAAAGACTTAGTTCCTAGTTGTTTCTTTATCAAATAACGTGTTAATTGTTTCGAAGTAGTTCCTATATTATTGCGATAGGTTACTTTCATCGACTCATACTAATCGACATACCTTAGAGACGAAAATTGTGGCACTCCGAAAGAAAGAGAGAAAACGAAGTTTCGATCTATCTGTACCTATGAGGAAAGAGATAGTGCTAGACCGAAAGCATAGGCCATCTCTCTCACTACTTTCAAAACCAAAAAATTACTGCAGATTATACGCGTGCGGCGTGTCCATTAGTTATGTCGATGGTTACTTCAATCAAATACAATAACTGTCAGTATCAACAGTCAGTGTCAACTGTCAATGTCTGTCAAATATTAATAAAATATTCACCTCTGCATGGTCCAGGGTAGTCGAGGGTGAGATGTTTAGCGGGGCGGCGGCAGGCTCGTCGTCTTAATCTACACAGTGAGCGGTAAGTTCTACCGTCACTGCCACACACCGGCCCCGCTCGCCGACAGCTTGCCGCACACACGCATCTAGCACGACCGCCTCGCACCACACAACGACGGCCGGCGCCACAAGATACACCCGCACATGATTCTGATATAATAACATATTGTTAATAATAAGTGATTATTAGAAATATAAGCTGAGGGTATAAAATTAGTTGCCAGTAGTAAAAAGAGTGTTGCGAATGATTTTAATTCTTCATAATGACAACACTGTAGGAAGACTGTCAGGAGTTATGTATTAATGTTGTTCTTTATTGATAATTTTATTAACATAAATTAATATAACAAGAATTAAGATTAATAATATACAATTAAATGAAACTAATATTTTCGGATTTATTTACGTTTTTATTTCGTCTGCCTGTGATCACGGTTGCTGAAAAGTAACCGAAACGTCGGGAGAGTGTAGTTTAAAGTTAAAAATAAAAACACGAATAAATCCGAAAATATTAGTTTCATTTAAATGAGTACTCGCAAAATCTTAGATCTCATTAATAATATACACCAAAAAATTCGTAACTTCTACCTCCCAAATAAATTATTCCAATATAATTAGTATTTTCAAGTTCAGTTAGGTATAACAAAATCAGTTAGGTAAAACAATGAGTTGCATGATTTTCCATCTTTGAAAGCTTTACTCCTTTTTGTAGTCTTAAAATGTAGTTTAGGTTATTCTCTATGATTTAGGTACCTAACGAGACGGACATCCCCGGCAAAATTAGTGCTATAGTTCTAGAGATTACGCTTAACAATTAGACACACAGAGAACGTTATAAAATTGCTTTTTGATCTAAGTATGATACATATATACTTTCAGATACATATCACAAAAAGCTGTTAATTTGAAATTTAAAACATACACTTAAATTTTATTTTTAGCTTTAAAGAGTTTTGTTAAAAGATAATCACAGATTAAGTAATAATTTTCTATTCTATCAACCTTTGTACATCACATTTCTTTTATAATACTTTAATTGTAACTATTTTTTCTTTTTGGTACATTAATAAATAAATAAATAACATTATGTTTTAGAACTGAATATTATATTTGAAAGAAAGATCAAGTTTAATAATGTTATTGTTATGCAAATAAAGATCGTAAAGATGTATTTTTTTGTCTGAATGTATATGGGATCATTGTATTGTATAGAATTTGTGACAGAACAGTAGGTAGGCTTTTAAGTGATGATTGCTAAAGAATGCCGTACGAGTGTTACGGCTTAATTTTTTACGACCATAGTTCCTATTTGGCGCTACAAAAACTTGTTGGGTATGAGCATTAAATATTTTTTTTGTCACTCCAATATGTTAGACATAAGTAGGTATATATTTGTTATATTTGAACATAACTTTCTGATCGCACTTTATAAAATTTGTAGGTATATACCTATTTACACTTAAAAAATCTATGATATAATTATTAGGTACTAAAACCATTCAGAATATACAAGTTGATGTATGTACCTTAAGAAACTTAATTCAAATTTAATAAATAATAATTGTAGATAACTTATGATAAATGTATATAATTAAACGTTTTTTCTTTATAATTAATATAGATCCATTTTTTTTTCCTGCCTTGATCCCACTTTATATAGGTTTCTGTAGAAGAACATGTTGTAAATAGTTTTGGCTAATTGTTTTTACGATCGGCCGCCTGCCTGATATCAACCCTCTTTGGGAATGCATTAATCAGTGATGTCTAAATACTCTTAGAAAGTACATATGACTCGGAAAAATCACATTGGTACTTGCCAGGATTGAACCCGAGCCTTGATGCATGAGAGGCGGGCCTTTTAATCGCTAGGCCACCACTGACTTAATAATAATAATTTTAATTTTATGAATCTTCTTTTAATACCTACTGACAAATTACAAGATTAATAAATTGAATCTAAGTCTAGTCTTTGTAATGAGTCAACACGAATGTGGGTTAATAGTTGTAATAAACATTACATGATAATATATCTATTTGAACGTTTACGCAATTAAATCAAACAGTTACTAAGATACGTCTTTATGGATATTTTGGAAACATCATTTAAATTATCAAAATTATCTTAATAAATGTAAATTATTCGATTACGCTTTTTGTTAAAGTCATCATACGAACACTAAATTTGTTAAATAAAGAATAAAATAAATTTAAAATTTCTACTATCAAGTGTTTCTGAAGAAAAAAATATTTTTTTACATTTAAAAACATGGCTATTATTCTCCTTCTAATGAGTTTGTACATAATTCACGAGCCAGCCAAACATCGTCTCACCAATTTACGAGTGTAAAGCGGTTAATGGTAATAACGATATATAAATAGAATAAGTCTAAAACTAACTCTGAACGAACTTCTCAATGTTCAAACCCGTTACTTTTCACGATATAAATATAATATTTCGTTATGTAATACATCATCCGTTGATTGAACACGACGGACCCCGAAGATGACGATGATAAGGAAGCATTAATGGTGATGCATCGATACAATATAAAGCTTCTGGCCTTAAAATTATTATAAATAAATTCGGATTATATGACACCATTTTGTATATTTTTTTTTGGGATGACACTAGCAAGAGTTTTTTCTATACAGCCAACAGCAAGTAAATTCCCGTCAAAATAAGTGTTTACAATATATTAGGGTATTAAACTGTCAAAATACCTCTATTTTTATATAAAGGGTTCATGAGCATAAATAAAGTGTAATAAGAATAGATTTCTATTTTCTATCCTAACACAATATTTTAATTTTAGGTGAAAAAAATATATTTAAGGTGGAGAATACTGTCAATGATATATTACTTTAAATGACCATGAAATAAGTAATACAAGAATTATCTGAATCAGAAACTGGCATAAAATGGGCTATCACAGAAGTCTATTTCTTCATTCATACAAATCCAGAGGGTGTCCTGCTAAGTATTTTTCCGATATTTGGTATTGGGCATACGGGTACGCGACCCCGGATCCTCGAGCCACCACTTTCATACCCCTATCTCCAGCCCATGAAGGTGGTGTCCTGTACCTTCGCCCCATTCCCATTCCTTACCTCTTTCTCCTCCCCCTCTCTATCTTTATCCTTTCCTGGTTTTACCCGTTTGACGGGGTTTTGGAGGTCAGACGGCAGTCGCTCCGGTAAAACCACTCCTCGCCACTCAAATGGACAAGGAAAAGGAAAAAGAACTGGGTATGGTTAGGGCGTCGCCGATAAACGACGCGCAGGCACATCGCCCTAAACCTGCGATAAGTGGGCAAGGGCTACCGTGTCAAGTACGGGCACGGCTAAAGACGTCAGTACCCAATCGGAAACTCCGCTTTGCAACATGGAATATTGGCTCTCTAACCGGACGATGCAGAGAACTCGCAGATGTACTCATGAGACGTCGGGTCCAGTGTGCATTCCTTCAGGAAACTCGCTGGAAGGGCAATAAGTCTCGCAACATCGGGCAGGGTTACCGGCTGATATACACTGGGTCGCCTTCAGGTAAAGCTGGTGTAGCGGTAGTGCTATCTGAAGAGCTTCAGAATGGTCTTCTTGAAGTCGACCGTCACTGCGACCGCCTGATGCGGGTGCGGGTATTGATCGAGGGAGTCATAACTAACTTAATCAGTGCCTATACTCCTCAGGCGGGATGTAGCGAGTCAGAAAAAGAGTCATTCTGGGAGCAATTTGAAGAGGTTCTACGCGCTATTCCAGCTGCTGAAGTAATCATAGTTGGGGGGGACTTAAATGGCCACGTAGGTAGGGCTGCGGATACGTACGAGCGTGTACACGGTGGTTTTGGTTATGGTCGCCGCAATGCAGAGGGAGAAACCATTCTCAGAACCTGTATTGCGTCTGACTTGGCCGTCGTGAACACGTTCTTCCAAAAGACTCCGCAACACCTTATCACGTATAAAAGCGGGTCCCATTCTACCCAAATAGATTATCTGCTGACCAGACGGTGTCATATTGGCAAGGTGACTAACTGTAAAGTCATTCCTGGTGAAAGCCTGACGGCCCAACATCGTCTTCTTGTCATGGACTTTGTCGTTACCCCGAAAAAGAAAGTAGCCGAGAAACGTGAGCCTCGGATCAGGTGGTGGTTGCTGAATGGAACGATGCAGACCAACTTTCGGGCAGCGGTTGAGAGTCAAAATCTGTTGACCCATACCGAATCTGCTCAGGAAGCTTGGGATCGAGCGCAGTCAGCAATTATCACAGCAGGCAAACGAGTTTTAGGTCTTTCTAGGGGGGGACGGGTCATTGATAGGGAGACGTGGTGGTGGAATGACGAAGTGCAGGAGGTGATTCGCAACAAAAAGGCTGCCTTTAAGAAGTGGCAGCAATCACGCTCTCCTGAAGACAGACTAGAGTACATAGCAGCGAAACGTGCCAGTAAAAGGGCTGTTGCCAGAGCCCGCAGTGACAGGTTATCACCGTTATATGATACACTTGAAACTGCGGAGGGGCAGAAGCTCATTTACAAATTGGCTCGAGCTCGGGATAAAGCGACGCAAGATATCGCAAAATGTCTTTGCGTCAAAGATTCCCAGGGCACACTGCTGTGTAATCATGCCTCTGTGAAGGAGAGATGGAGATGCTACTTCAAGGAGTTGCTAAATACCCAGCACCCGTGCAGTCTTCCTACCGAACCACCTCCTAATCTTGGACTTATTGCCCCGATAACACCTGATGAAACTCGGAATTGTCTTCGACGCATGAAGAATCGGAAAGCGGTGGGACCTGACAATATCCCGATCGAAGCGTGGAAATCATTGGGCTCTCTTGGTGTGCTCATACTGACGGACCTTTTCAACCGCATCTTGAACACTGGGACTATGCCACATCAGTGGCGTTATAGCTTTATTACCCCCATTTACAAAGGCAGGGGCAGTGTTCAAGATTGCGGTAGTTATAGAGGCGTCAAGATCATGAGTCACACCATGAAGCTCTTTGAGCGCATGATCGACCTCAGGCTCCGCCGAGAGTGTACTGTCTCGGAGTGTCAATATGGATTTCAGCCTGGATCGGGCACCTTGGACGCCATTTTTGCCATCAGAACCCTGATGGAGGCATACAGGGAAAAAAGGAGAGCTCTGCATATCGCATTCCTTGATCTGCAGAAGGCCTTTGACTGTGTGCCTCGTCAATGTATCTGGTGGGCTTTGCGAACCAAAGGGATCCCTGAGGCCTATATTGACATCATCAGAGACATGTACCGCGATTCCGTTTCCATGGTTAGGACTGCTGTTGGCGATACAAAACCCTTCCCGATCTCAGTAGGGGTGCACCAAGGCTCGGCTCTTAGCCCGTTCTTGTTCAATGTAGTGCTGGACACCGTCTCGGCTAACATCCAGGACCAGCCTCCATGGCTGATGATGTATGCCGATGACATAGCGCTCATTGACGAGGACCGGCTGACGCTGGAGCGGAGAGTGAACCTTTGGAAGGGTGCGCTTGAGAACGGTGGTCTCAAACTAAATGTGTCGAAGACCGAGTACATGGCTTGCGGGAGCCCGGACTCTTGCACCATCCATATAGGTCCTGAACCAGCCGTTAAGTCGGAAAAGTTCAGGTACCTTGGATCTATTCTGCATGAGTCCGGAGGCATCGATCACGATGTCCAAGCCCGGATCAGCGCTGCTTGGGCGAAATGGCGTGAGGTCACAGGTGTGGTCTGCGACCGCAGAATACCGCCCAAGCTCAAGGGACTAATATATAAGAGCATAATCCGACCGGTTCTCTTATATGGCAGCGAATGTTGGCCAGTACTGTCCAGGCACACTCAGGAGCTTCACGTCACGGAGATGAAGATGCTGAGGTGGATGTGTGGCGTTACGCGGGCTGACCGCATACGTAACACATTCATCCCAGGTAGTCTTGGAGTCCGTGACGTAGCGGATAAGCTTGAGGAGAGTCGCCTGAGATGGTATGGCCACCTTGCACGCCGGCCTGAGAACTACGTCGGAAAGATTTGCCTCAATATGTGTGTCCCTGGAGCGAGACCCCCAGGACGCCCAAAGAAGCGATGGCTGGACACCGTGAAGCAGGATATGAGAGCCAATAGATTAACCACCGAGGATGCACAAGACCGTGCAAAGTGGAGGCGTCTATGTTGGAAGGCAGACCCTGGCTAGGGCTGGGAAAATGCCAGGAAGAAGAAGAAGAAGAAGAAGACAAATCCTAATATTCAAGTCTTAATTTTTTCTTAATAACAATTACGTGCAAAACAATTCTGTTCTAATACTCAGCTGCCTTTAGCAAATTATAATCACTGATCTCTATAACATGAATCAAAAATATAACTCGAAGAAATCGCTTGTGTGATAGGGTAGTTCTTGCCTTAAATTTTCTGTATTTATATGTAATGTTATTTCCTGTGATTTTGAGTGCAATAAAGTATCTTCTTCATCTCAATACTCACCAGCACACGCGGTACACGGTACACCGCCTGATAGCGCTTTGTAGAAGAATATCTCTCCGCTGTCCAAGTCTCTAGGGCTCCACGCTGCAGGGGCGCGGGCTCCACCCGAGCAGCACTCGGCTCGACCAACACGAAGCGCTGCTACAGAACTGCAGCGACCACCTCGCTCCATGCCCGACCAGCAGATACCGGCTAAAAACATGATATTAATTAATACACACATACATACGTACACACACACACACACACACACACACACACACACACACACACACACACACACACACACACACACACACACACACACACACACACATACATACATATTATAGTCCACAACCACTAAGTAGTAGACTATAATATTATTAACAAAACTACTAGCTACTATAATATATAACAAAACTACTAAATTAATTATCAAATATAAGAAATTTCAGAGTCGAATAGCTTATACATGTTACAACGCTTGCATATAATACGAGGGTCAAACTGAAAGTTCTTAGCAAATCAACAACTGATTACATTAGCCAGTTATTAGTTTTATTATATCTTTTCAAAATATTGTCCATTCACGTCAATACACCGCTGCATGCGATGGAACCACTGGGAAAAGCACTTTGCCCACTCGTCCTTAGGGGTCTCTTCAATGGCATCGCGATACGCAGCCAGCGCGTCTTCAGCATTCATAAACCGCTTTCCTTTAAGTTTTTCTTTAATTTTTGGAAATAAATAAAAATCACAAGGCGCGAGGTCGGGGCTATACGGCGGGTGACCCAGTAATTCAACGTTTGATGTCGCCAAATAGTCGATCTTTCGCTTGGCGGTGTGCGACGAGGCGTTGTCGTGGTGAAGGAGGATCCTACTACGAGGTCGTTTCTCTCGAACTTTTTCCATGACAAGTGGCAAACAATTGGTAGTGTACCATTCTGCAGAAACTGTTTTTTGATCCTCTAACACAATTGTTGCGAAATGACCTATCCTTCCAAAGAACGAGGCCACCATATTTTTTCCCGCACTTCGATCTCTCTTCACTTTAGTTGGCAACTCCTCGTAAGGACACACCCACTGAGCAGATTGTCTTTTGGTTTCAGGATCATAACAGTAAATCCAGCTTTCGTCACCTGTTAGTATGTCGAACACAGCATTTGAGTCACCTCCATTAAATCTTTCAATCATTTTACGGCACCAATCCACACGATGGAGTTTTTGAGCCCATTCAAATTATGAGGTATCCACCGGGCGCAACGCTTCCTGACCGCTAAATGTTCGTGGAGGATTTTGTGCACTTGACTCACACCGATGCCTAAGCTTGTCCGAATCTGCTGATAGGTCACTCTTTTGTCAGTCTCTATTATACGCCGCACAACACAGATGTTATCTTCAGTCGTCGCTTTAGAAGGCCGTCCCTCACGTAAATCATCATTGAGATTAGTGCGACCACGTTTAAACTCATTAAACCAGTTGTAAACAGTCGCACGGGATGGGGCCTCATCGTGAAAGGCCAGTCGTAGTCTATCATAACTTTCTTGTTGACTTAAATGACATCTAAAGTCATAAAAAATCATTGCACGAAAATTTTCTCGTGTTAAATTCATGTTGACGTGACACAGACAATTTTCAATTTGCCGCCAAATCGTAAAACAAATGACAAATATATGAAAAATATACTCAGTATGTAATATTGGCAAAGAGTTCTATTTTCAAATTTTAGGATTATTTTTTTATTATATTGTTTATAAGTGGCCAGTTCTAAGAACTTTCAGTTTGACCCTCGAATAATACATATACATACACACATAGGTACACAACTTAATAGTTAAACTTTAAATATGTGAAATGCTATATTACAATGATTGAATAAAATAAACTACTTTTATCGACAAAGTATAATATATAAAGTACCATATTGATATATAATATGATTGAAGGAAGATTATCAAGTATGTGGCAATTGAAATAAACTCTCTTATTTACATAAAGTATGATCATTATCGATCCAAAAAAGTATTTTGAGACAAACAAACAAACAAACTAAATATGATAACCAGATCTTCATTTTTTTCCTTTCTTATGAAGTTTATATTTAAATAATATTTAAAAATACTTTATATTATGTACTTATAATTGTTTATTAATAGAGAATGTATTATTTCATATAAATGAAATTTCAACAAGTAATATTAAACTAATTCTACTCTTGTATAAAAAATACTATATAAGAATGTTTGTAACTTAAGTTTTAATGAATAATTTGCTTATGATATCTTAAATAAAACTTTTTGTTCAAGTTTACAACTTTCTATCGAGTGTAATGTGTTTTAACACTTTTTACTTAGTTCGTTCTGTAAGGAAAATGTGTTAAAATATCTTATTTTGTATAACATATAATTATAATTTTGTATTAAACTTGTTGAAATATTATATAGATTTGATATTTATATTTTTGTCTATCTCTCGCGTTAGACATTTCAGCCCGCCAATATGGCCGCCGCGAATTGCATCAGATGATTAATATTAAAATTGACAGATACGTAGATAAATTAAAATGTATATTTGAAAATCTTGTTTATAATAGAATTGTCATCACTATAATAAATACATAATTTTGTTAATCTAAATGGGAAATTTTCAGTTAAAAAGTCTACGATTATAAAAAAGTTTGTACGGCGTTTTCTTTGTAAGGTCAATTAAGGTTTACGACAGACGCGGGTGCATTCTATGAACGTGCAATATTACGTAAAGCAAACGTTACGTGCATGACTAAATGGTGTTAAATTTACATTGGCTTGAAACACGCTACCACTATCATTTGTCTTGGCGGAATAAATTAAACACAATATTGTTAAAACATATAAATCAATACATATATTGTTTTACACGTTAAAAAATAATAGAAAAATATTACTAGGAACATAATTCATAGACAAAACTAGATACAATAAACCATAAACAATGAATAGCAAATGTATAAAATACAGGCATAATATAAACCGGGAGAGACCATAGACAATAAAAAGTAAAATGTACATAAAGCAGATGTTTCACGTTGAATTCCAGCGATGAGTCACACAGCGCTAGACGACGCGCAGACACTATTTTTCAAAGGCCGATTTGCCTTTTAAGACGTGTTAATTTTACAACCGTCATTAGTTTATAAAAGACTTTTAGCGTAAGCTTTAGCTCTTGCATTGAATTCTGTAGAAACTTTCGCATGCATGAGAACTGATGTTGAGAAAATTGAATGTTGTTATTCAATTTGTATTATTGAAAATGATTTAAAAGAATCTGAGTTTTTTAAATATGAAGAATAAAGATTAAATAAAATATAAACCCGAAAATCCTATTGGATAATTTGAATTTAGAATAAATATGAAACTTTTTAAAAAGTGAATCGTATTTTTTAAAGTTAAAATCGTATAATCGAAAACTTTCCACATCCCGGCACCGTCGCGGGCTGGTTTCAACCGTGTGTCAGTCTTGTAAAAATGCGCATTAAAATTATAAAGCGCGGGTTTCTGTATAAAGTGCCTGTCGTATTGGTGGCCAGCGGTAAAAATGCAAATTAAATTGAATAATGTTTTCGGTTACGACGTAAACGGCCATTGACTCTAAGATTGTATTCTTGTGTGATGAGAATTGAATAAAGCTAGCTATAATATGTACTCACTAAATAATTTCTCAATGAATTTTATAATAATATGAACTTATTGTTTAAAAGAGTTTTTCAATTAATATTTCAAAAAAAAAAAGAAACAAAAATGTGCTAATGGTAATAAATAATAGTAAGTATAAATAAAAACTCATGCGTCTAGCGGCTTCGTCAATTTTGGCGCCACATTTTAGATGCCAAAGCGGATCTCGAACCCACAAGCTATGCTTTTTTTTTGTTGCAAAACTATTTTAATTTAAACTACGCTCGCCTACTAGTTTTTCATCACATTCCTGATTTATTCCGAAATCAAATTGTCGGAGTTTAATTAACGTTCTGTTAAAAAATCTGACAGTTAAAAAGTATGGAAAAATTTTGTTAGTAATTAAAAATAAAATACCATTTTCGATGAATTTTCTATATACATTATTTTTTTTGTATTCGAATTTAATACTATTTTTTATATAAGCGAAGAAATTGGAAGCGACGGCAGAAAATAAACAACGCGTCATTGAAGATTCGTAAACGCAAATAGAAGCAGTTCATTTGTCAAGCGATATTTGTAACGTTGAAGCTAGAAATAGATATCTATAACCGGATAATTATACACACTTGTTATGATTCCACACTATTAAGATAACTTATTATTCGCTTCTGGTGTTTTAATGTATTTTTGGTATCATAAGAATGCATTATAATTTATGAATCACCTGCGTCTTAAAATCATAAGACGGACGTGTAACAGGATTTGGTAATTGTAAAAAAAATATATGTATATATTAATCAGAAACATTACTCAGCTGAATACAAAATATATTTAATTTTTTTTTTATGGCAACATTATATTTTAATGTCACAGACTCGTGTAATATTTGATGGTTTTGTTATAAAGGGATAATGAAATGCAATTATTGTGTTAAAACCGTCCCTAATTTACAATTGTAATCGTCTGGCAGCCTCCGAGCGACCTAGTTTTCTGTTCTGGGGCGACGAAGGACATTTAAACAGGTGTCTGGAGCAAGTATTTTGCATAATATTCTAACCAGACGTCTAGCCGTTTGATTACTGAAATAAATCCTTCTTTTATCTTTAAGAATTACGCGCCTTATGTTAATTATATTAAAATTTATTAAAATGTATATCGTTCTTATATTTTCGTTGCTGTAAGATAAATGCTAACCGACTGCTCTAATAATAAACGTATCTTGATAATTGACAATGATTTTAAGTGAATTCGAAGGCGGTATCCTCTCATTAACAATACGTACAAAATTTCAATAGAAGCGTATGAATATCTGTTCGTATGCCAAAAAATTCTTTAGAACTATGTAGCGGATGTAATAAATCAAAATATGCATACGAGACGGTGCCTTTTAACGTTTTTGACAGACCATTTCTTAAACGTGGCAGAGTTATGTGGGTGACAGTCGGTTTAGATCTGCTTGACATTGTTCGATCGGTTAATTATATGATATAGGAATTGCAAAAAAGTTTTTAATATTACATGAATTTTAATAATAATAAAGTTTTTTATTAATTTCCGAACGTACTATTTATATAAAAGAGGTTTTCTTACATTAGTATGATTCCGTTATATTTAACGCACAGACGCGTTTTTGCACATGCTAGTGACGTGGATGTCCCGCGGCCCGTAGTTTAAGGGATGTGCCTACGTTTATCGATAATAAGCTATAATGAAGATGTAAATTCGAGGTATTATATAATGATATGGTATCAAAATTCAAGGAAATTTCGTATGTCTGGACGGGACGTACATAAATCTCGCGAGGCGATTGAATGTAGACGTGTAAGCGTGCCCGCGCGCATAATTCAAAGGGGGCGATCACCAGGAATTGGCATGCAGACGGCTGAGTTCATTCCGAAGCAATAAACCCGTTAGTAGCGACATAATATGCATACTATACAACCACCATTGTTGTCGTATACACATACTAAAGTTACATCGATATATAATCGATTTTATTAAGTTGTATCGTTAAAATATTATCGATATTCGTGTATTAAGGGCGCTACCAGCCCGCAGGTGTGACAGCACACTGTCTCAACAGGACCGGCTTGCATTTATTTACACATGCAAATGTTCGCTACAACCAGCTCACTTAGACTGAGCTGCCAAACAAACCACTAGCTTATTTACCAGCCCGATAAGTCCCGGATACGATTAAGATACGGATAATAACCGGATACGATTACGCTGATACATATAAGTCCCGGATACGATTATTTAGTTCGAAATTATATTATGGATACTGAAACTTAGTATCAATTGTTAATATGAATTCATTCTTAGTCTCATCTGAACAGTAGGTACATCATCAAAAGTTGATTTATAATTTCAGTGTTCATCTCCAAAGAGTTTCTTTTCTTTTATATATATTTTTTGGTGAAAACGTTGTAATTTTCAAGTAGTAATCGTCGTTATTATGTGCAAGCTAATGATCGCACGAGTCACTATGCGTCTCTTTTGCTAGTTTTTTACTTGTTGATGATTATTTTCCATTGAGGTTCCCCGTACTCATAATAATATATATTAGTATATATTAATGTGTTTTTAAGTACAGCTTATATCAATTCAGCTAGGATTATGTTGTGTGGGTAGTCTGAGTTTTGTACTGTTGGTTGCGAATAATGATATGGTAACGATTCTTAGCTTTATCTGGTTCTTTTTAGGGAAATAGCAGGTTGTGTATTGTAAGGTTTATCATAATAAATTAATATATTTCTTAAGAATATCTGTTATATTTATTTCGTAAGCTTTAAACGAAAAAATGTTGCATAAAAATAAAAAATCCAATTAATATTATACATATATTTTTTTGTCTTAATTTAAAATCGTTGTCTTTATTGTGATTATAATAAACAATTATTCTTTATATTAATTAAATATTTTATTTATAGTTTTTCATAATTTTCTCGTGTTCATATCTATATCTTAAAATCCTTTCATCTAGTTTGTCCTTACAGTCTATTTCGCGGTTGAATTATTTAAATAGATACGGTATTTAGTAATTGGTCGGATTAGATCGGCCTTTTAAGTATTTAGACAAGTTTTGCAAATTGTAAAGCTTGTAACCTACGGAGTTATTGAAGAAAATTAGTAAATTCTGATAATTTAATATTATAGAGAATTTCTTATAACTGATATCTAAGATATTAAGAGTGTATACATTTAAATGAAACTCTAGTTTTCGGATACTAAGCATTATTTTAAATTATTTTGTATATACGTAATGACGATGTTTTGGTTCCTTTACAGCAACCGTGATCACGAAGACGAGATGAAAAACACTTTAATGAAATACTAAATTTAATTTAGTACTAAATTTTTATTGATTTTATTATCTATTACAAGTTGTATAACAAAAATTGTAACAGTTCTTAGTCGTCTAAATTTTATATCAAAGCAAAATGTACAGTTAATTTTAAGGATAATTATTAATTTCTTTAATTCTTCCAAATGTGCAAAATGAACCTATGGAAAACCGTAGTATTGAATATACCTTAATTAATAATTAATTATTATTAATTCAATTAATCATTTATAAATTCAATAGCATGATATAGGTTTAGGTTTAAAATTTTCTTGATCAATAATTTTAATTATATATTTCACAGTTAGTACGAAATAATATAAATATTGATATTTAGACAAATATATAAATTTAAATCTTACTAAATAAGATTTTTTGCTATGTATTATAATTAGGCCTGCAATGAGTAGTATATTCGGTAGTATTCCGAATAGCTAAATATTAGGCAAAAGTATTCGGCTAGATTTAATGGAAAAAACTTATAAATACTTGCCTGTTTTAATTTGTAAATTATTTCCTAAAAATGAAGTTATGATAGATTTTCTGTACCATAATAGTCCCTTTATAAATTTTCATTATAAAGATAAGTCAAATGAATGGAAAAATTTATAACTTTTCTTATATAAAAGATGATTATGGACCTGTTTTTGGTACCAATGATTATAAGAAAAAATTATAAAAATATAAATACATAAGTAATGAAACGATTTTTTTTATTTCATCAATTATATCTCTATAACAAAGATATTACTTAAGTATTCGATATTTGGCCGAATAATATGTACATAGATATACGATTTTAGGCCGAATATAATAAAAGCTGCCGAATAGGCCGAATACCGAATAGTAACTAAATATTATTTGCAATTATGATATATATTACTATAATTTATTACTAAAATTTCTTTAGTTTAAGACCACGTATATTTTATTTGAATTTTAATTACGCTTAATTTGTTTATTTTTAATATTTTTATTGGAATACAAAAAAAACATCATTTAATATATCAGATATATTTTTTATAGATTTTTTTATATAACATTTAAAACAAATATTGATAAAAATAATACTTCTAACTAAGAAATTGACCACAGATAATAACAAGTGTCGTATAAGTAAATATATTTTCTGTGCTTCAAAATATAATATTGAGGAATTTATTGAAATAACTAAATGAACTCACTGAACCTGGATCTAAAACACAATGGATTATAATTGTGAATGCAATCATAATTAACATAATGTATTAATGTCACATACGACGTTACACAGATTATAAAAATTATAAATATTGATTTATTGTATAATATATATTTTCATAGATGTACAAATGTTTGTTGTCCCAAATAAATAAAAAAAAAAAAAAAAAAAAAAAATATATAAATATGACAGATTATATATATTTATTTGTCTACTATATAACCTTTTTACGTTTTACTATATATAAAATATTGTTTGTGTAAGAATGATTTAATTATATTTATTAAGAAATATATTAAAAACTTAATCAGTTTCTATGGGATGTTAATTAAAATTGTGTTCTTTTAAAGTTATAGAATAACTAAATATATTTTCTAAATATATATCGTGTTTTGATAATACAAAGTAGCGAGTTCCAACGTCATGTGTTCTATGTTAATGAAATTCATACAGACACTCGGTTAGTGACATATCTATTGTAAGTATGTAACAACACGCCCGCTGTTTCCGGGCTTCACAACAAAATAATATACTCGCACATTTTGGACACGTGTTTTAAGATACTCGGAAACAATTAGACGCGCGGAGAGCAGCTAACGAAACGCTTTAACCGATACGGGTTTTAATTATAGTTTACTTTAACAACGAACAGCTCGGACTGATAACGAACACGGGTCCGCGACCACGGAAACAGAGTTTAAAATAACGGTTAGCAATGTTATAATAAAAGTCACTTACTGTGTCAATAAAAGCGAACAGTTAACGTTAATCAATCGTGGGCATACTAACAAGTTCTGAAGCGTCCGTACCAGCCACTCGCGTGTACCGGTCGGGCGAGTAAGAGAATCGTCACATTCGTTTTCGTATGATGAATCTTAATTAATTATAAGGCTGGTGACACTCCACGCTATATGAACTGGTCTCACCTGCGGCCGGGCGGACGAGCACGAGCGGCAGCACTAGCAGCGGCAACAGCGGCAGCCGCATGCCCCCGCTATGGTCGCATGCCGGCGCGTGCGGCTCGCCCGGCGGCGCGGCCCCGGCGGCCCGGCGCGCGCGGCCCGAGCGCCGCCGCCGCGTGTGCCGGGCCGGCACGTGCGAGCCACGCGCGCCGGCTGCACCCGCCTCAGACACCACGCGACGCATCCGACGCTCCTCCTATCATCGGTGTGCCTCTCTCGGAGTGTCGACGCGGACTGACTGGCGAGCGCGGACCGCGGCCGCACAGAGTCGACGACCCACCGGCCCGCGGCCTTCCGCCTGCTGCACGCTGCACGCTGCACGCTGCACTCTACACGCTGCACGCTGCACACTGCACGCTACGACAACACACACACCAATAAACCTAAACATTTTATGCCGTTTGATAGAAACGAATCGACGTATATTGAATAATAATCGGAGCGCGATCACGCCTCGCTAACAGACAGCCGGCTCCTACTCGTAGATAAGTGAATATCTGTATCGGAGGCTAGATCAGTGAACTTAACGTTAGTAAAGCGTTGAAGTCTTTTCAAGGGCGCCTATTAGACGGCACACATAAAAAAATACCGTATCTCATATAAAAAGCAGTTGGCAACAGTGTACATTTTTTTTTTCATTCAGTTCTGACTCTGTGACTTAATAAAGTTACCAGTTCTGTGTTAGTTCGACGCTGTTCGTTATCGGAAGATCATAAATATATACAAATATAAATATTTGTCATAAAAAACTTCTGTGAGAATTTCGTCGGTTGACGATTAATTATTTATTATAGGAATAAAGGCCAGGTGTCGCCAATTATATTAATAATGATTGGTGAAATCCTCTTTGATTATAGGTGTGGAACCTTTGACTGTAAACCCAAATCCTTCAACGTATGGATAGACTAGAAATACATAGCATACTTTTATATTTGAAATCTAGTTATTGTTGAATATATAAGCAAAAAAATATTTAAAGCCTCGTTGCTTTAATGTTAGTCTGTCATGGTCAAGTTAACGGCGTGTAAATATAAAAATATATGTTTACCAAATTGTTTATATACATAGGTATGTATTCTTTAATTTTGATTTTTGTAGGTGACGTTAAGAAATAAAAAATCTATTATCTTTTTTATAAAATAGGATGCGTTGACTACGGCTTCGTTCACATACAAAATTTCTCAAGAATTTAAAAAATATTTTTGTGAGTCCATTCAGAAAATAATATATGTATATGAATATAGAAAATTGTAATTTTTTTAATACACTTAATTATATTCTCTCTATTCCTAAAATAAAAAAAAAATCAATGAGAAATAAACACATACATTTTAATGACACAATTATCTTTAAATAATAAAATAATTATATATTTTTTTTAGTATAGAGTTATAAAGCGTGGCAAGACGAACATGTAAAAATTCTTTTAATTCCAAGTCAGTATTTAATTGTATTAAATTTTTGTTTCACCAACGAAGAATTTAACACGAAAATCTATGAACGTACCCAATTAAAATATTTTTAACGTATGTAAGCTTGCAGTTGGATAAACTTTTTTTGATGTAATTTAGAATTAAGAATATAAATATTTATATCTTAATACGTTACTTTATTTATCCTAAATAAAATCTCTAAAACATTTTATTAATCTACTTCTATTAACAGAAAAATCATAGTTAATGATAATTAAAATGTAATAATTTTTGCCGACTTGTACCTATTTGACATATGTCAAATTTTAAAACGTCATTTTAAAACGAGAGTTAATAATTGATCTATTTAATTATTGTTATATTCTTAATATAATAAAATTAAAAATATATATTTATAATTTTGATTAATTATATAAACAGTAATGATGATATTCTTTTGTTTCACATAATTTTTTGGCGTCACAAGTCAAATTTATTAATAAACAAAAATTTACATTTAATAGAATTCTTAGTCCGGGTTTACATCCTCACTACATACTAACCGTTTGTCGTTACTAACTCAATGACCAACGTTAAGTAAATACGAAAAAAAAATTGTAAAACTTTTAACGTTTCGTAAGTAGTGTTACGAATCAAAACTTGGGTTAATCACAAAGGATTAGGTATATTTGAATTCGTACTTGTAATATTAAATGATTAAATATTCTGTTTATAATATTGGGTTGATTTAATCCTGTCTGTTACTCAATACGCGGGCAAGTCTGGCTAGATCCCAATTAGAAATGGAACTTAATCATCATAGATAGCCGATAGCCGATAGCCTACAAACAGCCGGCTAGCCGACTAGCCGCTCGGTCACGATTATACCAGCCGGAGCGTAATCATTTCATTCAACAACAATGCCTTCACTTTCGTAATCACCGTGAATTTTGTATTTCATTTTAATATTAATAAAATAGGTATTTGATATTACTGAATACTTTTAAATAAAACATTTATTTAAACATTTTTAAATCAAACAAAATGGTCGTCTACGTACTGCCAAAATTTAAAATAATTTATATTTAAATGAAAAAAAACTTTAAATATGCGGTTAATAATATTCATAGCAAATATTAAAAAAAAATATTTAGAGAAGACCAGACATATTTGTACAGACCAAACTTTCAATGGAATACTGTTCCCATGACATCATCAGATGTAGACGGATTTCTTAAACTATTTCATGTATTAAATAATAACCTTAACACATCACCTTATACAATATTATCCGTAAATATCAAATATCGGAATAACAAAACCAGTTCCATAAAACTAAAATATGGCGCCAAAACAAAGAGCAAATCATCTATGACATGCCAAAAATTCATTTGTACTTTTTTTAATCTGTCCATTTTTCGGATTTCATATGTTCAAATCTTAAGAATCCACGTCTTAATTTTATTATAAATTTAATCTACCTAATGAATAATTGTATAAAAAATATTAAAATTGTAGTCTATTTCAAATATGATATTGTATTTGTTAGTTTTTTATGTTCATATTTGAAAAATGACATCTCAATGTGTAGACAGACATAGATGGCAGCACAGGACGTCTGGGTTCCAATGTAAATAAACTATCAAATAAAACAAGATGACAATGATCATGTCATTAGTTATTGTCAAATTAAATTGGCGCAAAAAACTCTTCGATCGTGATCCTGGCGTCCTCATTCGCGTAAATGTCATTTTTTATCTAAACGCAAATAAAATAAGAGTGCAGACGGAATGCAAGACATCAACACAATGACTATTCACGATGTCTCAATTTATCACTAACAACATTCTAGCATTACAAAAGCCATAATTAAACATAACTCGGTCGATATTTCTTACTTAAGACAACTTATTATATATTAAAATTATGCAACGATTAAACTTAGCATTTTAAAAGATTCTTTTGAAGTTTTAGCGTAAATATTTTATATATTTTTTAACAATTGCAATATAAATAGGGTCACTCAGAAAACGCGGCAAGGAAATACGAAATGCATCAAGCAAAAGGCATCTGGTTAGCGTGGGTGATACGATTATTGTCTAGAACAAAATATTTGGTGATGAAACACGTGATTCTTAGAAATGTATGCCATACGAAACTTTTGGTTGGGCTCCAACGTACATATTATTGGAAATAATTACGATCAAGAAGACCAATATATAAATAAATATATATATTTGACAAAGTGAAGAAGGATATGTTACTTCCTCATAAACAAAGAGAATTGTTTTCAGATTCTCATAATAAATAAAAACCGAGTATTTCTTTATTTATCGATTCATAGTACAACACTAGTGTAAGCGCTACTGGTTTTGAATGCGATTGGTAGATTTGATTAATTAAAATAAATAATATACATAAAATTAAGATAGATACGATCTATTACACAGTATCTAATCTTTCAGTCAGTTTAATGAAATAATTAAGGATTTAAACTGCATGATGGATACTTAATAACTAGATAGGTGTAAAGTTATTCAAAAATATCGGTAAATTTGACTTAAATATTAATAAAATAATATAAATACGATGTAAGGTTGTATGTTTTGGGCATTTGACTTTTAAAAACCGTTATAATCATAAAAATCTGATGTCTGCGAGCAATATCTAGCAAACCAGCCGAATTTTATTTACACAAATCGTATTTTAATTCGTTTCGTTTATTTGTGTCTGCAGAATAATGTTTATCTTGATAAATTAAGAGAACGTCCTTTTTTTTAATTTAGAAGAGCATGTTTTAAAATATTTTAGAATTTAAATCGATGAGCTAAGGTTTTTACGAGGTGTATCTAAAGTGCACGATAGCGCATTTCACGGTACGGGTATATTACTGGAGATAAAATAAAAATAATGTATCGCTGTTGACTAATTAATTCATGGATAAGCTAAGTAATTTGCATGTCTTTAAGTGTTATTAAAAGCTTTAAGTTATTGTATATATATACATATATATGTACGTATATATGTATATACCTTAGCCTGTATATTCCAACCAAGCGTTGTCAGTGCAATGATTTATTATCTTCTATATATATAAAAATGGATTGCTGTTCCTTAGTCTCGCTAAAACTCGAGAACAGCTGAACGGATTTATCTTATCTTAGTCTTGAAATGTTTGTGGAGGTTCAGGGAAGGTATAAAAGCTGAAAAAATTGATTCATTACTGGGAAAACCATAAAAACAGCCCTTTTCTATTTCCCATACAAACGTTTTTTTGACATTAGATTTGACAACTAACTAATATGTCAATCATTCTGTCGCACCTCAAAATATAGAGATTTATGGCTTTCAGGTAAACTCCAAAAATATAAAAAAAAAAGTACACAATAGATATTTCTTGATTATAGGGCGATACGAAGTTCGCCAGGTCTTCTAGTATAATATATAGTTTGAAAGGTTTTTGGAATACATAATAATAACTAAATTATTATTGAGAAATATCGTCGTATATTTTATACATTATCTATATATACACTTTTATATAATAGGCGTTAATTAAATATTTATTTGATTTGCAAAAGGAACAATGTAGGAGGCAAGTTAATTAATCTAAGTCAAGGTTAGCAATAATTGATTTATTATTTATAGTTTAGAATCATTTACGCCCTCATGATGTGACATTTAGTTTTTAAATCACGTCATTATCATTACCAAAGGATCGCGTTATCTATTTGTCTTAATATTCCGTGTCAAATGGCGAAACACTATTGTGTTCAAGCCTTAAGTCATGTGTGATATTTAATTAAGAACCATATATATTAATAAATAAAGTTCAATTCTGATAAGAAAAATATATTAAGGCAAGACTTAAATCGCTCAAATATGTGGCCGGGCTCGCGATGCCAAGAATTTGGTCGAACCAACAACTTTACATTGCACTTGTTTACCTCGGCAAAAGCTATTTCTGGGTG